AGCAAAAGAAAGGCGAATCCCCGGGAGGCGAATACGTCAAAACATCGTAGGCATCTTTCGTTGGTATAACATGTCACAAAGTAATAGACGAAGTGTGTTGTCGGCCATTTTGTGGAGGAGAGCTGAAGTAAACTGGTAACTAGCGCCTGTGGGAAAAGGATGAAGCCGGTGAAATGTTGGTGAAATGTCGTTCAGGTAGCCCGCCCTACAGCTGGCACAAGGTACAATTTTCTTCACGATGTCCGCTGGAGTTAATGGATAGATAGTGGAAAGAACAAGAAGACGCTTTTGATTAGGTTCAATTGGACTTGGGGAAATAGTTGCCACTGTCTCTTCGTCTGTTGTTGACGGTGATCCAAAAGCGCGCAAGAGAATTCAAGGACATCGAACACCTTAAAAGTATTAGATGACTTATGTAGCCATTTTCAGAGACTCTTTAGATTATTATGATCAAGTCTTTAAATATTTTGCTACGACGAAGCGCTTCGACGACGATTTTGAGAGCATGCATATGGAAGCTTAACACATATCCTGCGGGAGGATTTTGGCGTGGAACGGTACCTCGGGCATTTTTTTGCTGTACATCAAAACTATTCAAGGCTGATGAGGATCCAGTGGAGTATCCGTTAGAGGTGCGTAAGATCAGAAATTTCTTCACAGGGGGGAGAGAAATAGCATTTAAAACTTCCCGACCAACATTCAAAAATATTCCGCCATATTGGCGAGTCCGCGAAATGTCAGTTGTTACATTATTTGAGCAGAATCACAATTGGCTATTTTTCGTTCCAAAAAGTCTTATTCCACGTTGTACTTTGCTGGGATCATGTCGAATACCGGGTTAGAAGAGAAAGTAGAAAAAATGAATGTTGAACAAAAGGAGGCTAAAGGTAAGAAAGGCAGCGAAAAGACTAAAGGAGAGAAAAAGAAGAAAGAAGATCTTAGCGCCTTTCCACTTGAAGTAAGTGAGTTGATGATCATTTACGCTCGATTACATGTTTGTGTCACTCTCGGTAATTTGAGTTTAATATTCCAAGTTCTTGGTGAAAATGGCTTATTCACCTTTTCCACTGTGCTCCCTGTTCTGTTAGGCATGTCTCACGAAAAGGCTCATCACTAATTTTTCCAGGCCAAGGGCAAAACTAAGAGTAGTGCTTCCTTATTCGTCGTCACGTGCGACGAGCTGGAATTAGAGAATATTGAGCTTAAACTTAAGCTTATCATCGTTGAACATCATTGAACCTCTGAAAAAATCGGAAAGATCGCCAAACAGCCACATGATTTATTATATATGCAGCAATTTCATACTAATAATACAAATAATGATTATGAATGGCGTAAAATGTACAAATCTATAATTTGCATCAGGTCAAGGTCCTGATGCAATGTTTTGATCTTTTACAGCAGATAATTGATGTACACTGTAGTTCCAGAATAGTATTCGCACAATGTCTGGAAGGGATGGCTCTAACAGGGAGGGTACAATTTGCGAAGAGGCTTATATAATTTGGGGGGGGTAAATTTTGAAAATGCACAAAATGTAGAGGAGGAGGGGGTTCGAAAGTATTTTAATGTACAAGACTGGCATTCTATGTAGAAGCAGGGTCTGAAAGGGGTTGTCTTCATCTTGAATCACGGGTTAAATTTCCATACATTCACGAATCACTTTACCTTTTGGAGTCGTTTCACGAATCATGTGATTAGGTGATGAACTGATCAAGTCCATCAATGATTCTTAGTGGTTGCTGGACTACTGGAGTGAAACCTCTATTAAGTGGACCCCCAATTAAGCCTACACCCTCTATTAAGCAGACACCGGGCCCTGAAATTAAAAAAAAAGATGCGGACAATAAAATAAATTGTATTTGGCTGAATTTCTATTGTTAAAACCTCCATTGAGCAGACACTCGACTGAATTGACAAATAGTAGCATTGGATTACGTCCTTATAGCTGTCAGAAGTTTACCTAAAAGTCTTGCACAAAGTACAGCACAGCTTCCTTAGCATCATTAGCTTCCTTAACGACATAAAACTTTGTCACAGCACAGAGTAATCGTTGAATGTTAATCGTTAACAAACATTGTGCAATTTTTACAAACCTCTATTAAACGGACTCCCTCTAATAAGTGGACACTTGGAAGTGACACTTAAACGACCCTGTGATAGGAAGGAAACAAAAAGTCTGGTAATCAAACTTGCATTTCTTTGCTTTTTGTTTGATGAAGTTACAAAGTTGACTGGCAATGAATTATATTTCTATAAAACCGATGCTCAACAATTTTTCACTCTTACTTGGTCAACCTCGAACCCCTGTCATGACACTTACATCATGTTTTACCGGTAGAAATATTGATTCGTGAACTACAATGTTAACGGATCACACATCACAGTGAATGTATAATTCACAAACATTGACTGTATTTCATGAGCTTTCCCTATTCACTCTGTTGTTATCCAGACCCCATAGAAGTTGTCAAACTATATCATGATTGAAGGAAATCCATGTTTCCTTCAAGAGTAGTAAAAAAAATTTGCACCTGTAGTTTTCGGCTACAAAAAAGTTTTACCTGTATGCAGTACTGTTCAAAAGTGAGTGGACAGTGGGTTGTTCTTCATTCTTGATTCCTGTGCAAATCGAGAGTCGAGAACAAGCTATTGAGAATTGAGTCAAGGTTTGAGTCTCAAGAGACAGAAAACAAAAGATTCACCCACAACTGATTTCTCGATAATTTTTTAAAGACATACAGCTGTAACACAACACAGCATGGTTTATTCATGCACAAACTGTCTTTATGTTTGAAACAAGACCAATTCAAGTTTTAAAGTGAATGTTTCTTCAAGGACATCTGTATCAAGCTTCATTTCCTCAAGTACAGTTTCAAATGTTTGCTCCAAATGCAAACAAACAGTGTATACTCGTTTACGAACAAGAAGATGAACAACAGCATGTTTTTTTTAACATCAAACGAGTCTGGGCTTATCTGGCTGCTTAGCATGAGCATGATAAAGATCAGCTGTAACATACACGTCTGTCTGAAACATGACTAATCTTTGGCTCTGAAATTGCATTTGTGAACTTGGAAAACTTTCGAGAAACAATGGTTTTAATTCTACTAGGAAATATAGTGCATTATTTAATCATCATCATCTCTCATAAAATTGGGTTTGTTTTTTCTGTGATGAAACATGATATGCATAGACTTCTTTGTTGCCTAGCATGTGACTGCAACTACCGCTGTGATGAAAAACTGCGCGATGTTAATTTCAAAAGCAAGACTGTATATTGTTTAAGAACTGTTGGAAGCTTCTGAAGTTTTCTGAAGCTTTATATGTATAGTCAATTGAAACTTTTATGTATGCAATTATGTCTCAAAAAAGCGAAGGCTGCCTGAGATGCTATCGTGTATTGGGAAAATAGCAAATCAGGTGAAATTACAAGTAAAGTTTCCAGTGCAAAAAACACCCTGACTGTAGTCACCAGTGGGAGACATTCAACTGTCATAATGCTCATGGACATTCACAAACAGGCAATAGAAAAAAGAAATTGGCAAGTAGAATTCGAAAGACAAGCTGAAGAACAAAGCAATGAGAAGCAACCTTGAGACTTTGTTTATACAAGCTTCCTTTTATTTTGCTATTTAAATGATGCAAAATGCCATTTGAACTTTTTTAAGGTTTCGACGCAAAGTATCACCCAAGCTGTGCGAATGAATGCAAATTTCTTGAAGAGTTGTCAACTGCAACTGTTTCTTGAATTTGCATAGTTCAGGAATTTCTCGCAATAATCAGATTCTAAGAAGTGTTTGATATTTTTATAGAGTAGAAAGATTTTTCTGAAGTGAGAGAAGATCACTCAAAACTTGAACAAAGGTTGTAGATTCTTGCTACAATGGAGTGTCAAGAGTAGAGAGCAAATTACTTGAAACTCAACAAAGGCTGTTCCGGGTTTGGTGAGTCTCGCAGGAATCGAGAATCGAGATGCAACAATAGAGAATTGATTCTCGACTCGATTCTCAGTTCTCGATTCTTGTGAGGATCGAGAATTGAGTGTCAACGATAGAGAATTGAGTGTCAACTTTCTTTTGAATGGTACTGTACATAAGTAGAATTATTGAGCCCACTCTGCTGGATTGCACAAAACCCCCAGGGGGTTACTAAAAATGGCCTGTGGAAAACACAGGAGATGGCATTTCCAAGACCCTAAATTCAAGAATTTTCTTGGGGTCTTGCCCCTAGACCCCCCAAGGTATGGGGCACCTTTGGCACTCTTATTTTTCTTCCTGTGCATACACCTTCAAAATCTCACACTATGCCCCTGATGTCCAGTATCTTATCGCTTATGAAATCAATGCCCAATAGAGGGAAGAAGTGAAAAACAAATTATCTGAAAACTTGGTCTAGAAGGGGGTTGGGGGGGGGGGGCATTTTAAATATTGTTATTGCCAAGGACGGTTCAATTTTCATATGAAATTATTTTCGGGGGCTAAAGTTTTGATGTGCCACACTTTTCTGAAAACCCTTGCCCCCACTGAGGAGTAATAAACGATTGTTCCCTAAGGCCCGCTTCAAACGTCGAACTTTACATGTGCCAAACCTAATTATTAGGTTCAGCACATGTAAAGTTTGAGGTATGAATCAATTAGGAACGGCACTTTTGTATTTGGGTCGACTCTGCTGTTCTATTCGACTGAGCTTGTCAAACAGAATGGCAAAAGATCAACTTTGATTCATACATCGAACTTCACATGTGCTGAATGTAATGCATAAATTAAGTATTATAAATTACGTATTGTTCAATATAACCACGCTTGCGGACAGAACTCACAGAAGCGTAACAACAGTTACCAGCATTCACGTTGTAGATTTTTATACTGAAACTGGAAGGCTTAAAACAGTCTTTTAAAAAGTTGCTTTTCTTTATGTCCATAAAGAAATCGTTATGTATTTTACAATTTATGGTGTTACTTTATTTTGTACAAATATCACGATCACAATCTCCTCAGCTATCTCCTTGCCATAACAGAACACAAATCACACTAAAATCAAAACAAGAATTTCCAGGCTTGCCAGTATATTTCCCTATTTTTAAGCAGGAAGGATGATATTTCTTTTTACTACAAATTAGGTTCGGCACATGTAAAGTTCGACCGTCTGAATCAACAGTCAAACTTTATAGTTTGGGTCGACCTAAATAGGTAATGTATAGATTTAGCCAGGGCTAAAAGCGAGGCTCCCATTAATATATTTATAATTTAAATCAAACAATAAACTTGTATTCCACAATTAAGTTAACTTTAGACCACATAGCACATTCATGTGACTTTTGAGGGAAAGGCTAAGTGATTTTAGAGAAAAATAATTTGCAAACAGCCCAAGAGTGAACAAAATCTAATTACATCAAGTTGATAGCCTCATATGCACACCCAAAAAATAGCAATCATCTTCGATCACATTTAGGAGCCATAATGGCTCTTCATCACCGTAAGATTAATTAAGCCTGGAAAAAAAATCAGGCCGAATTTTTTTGCGTTTGACAGGTTTACTTTACAAAATCTTGCCAACAAATCTGGGTGCGTGCACGTGTAAACCAACCTTTTATATCATTTATACATCACATCTGAGGTGAAACAGAGGTACTGTTTTTATCATACAGACCTCGGACAGAATGCAGTATTTCACAATTTTGCAACACAAAGTGCACTCATTCAATATTCAGGACGATCAAAGCACACGTGGGCTTTTTAAACCGTTAAAAAATTTCCAAAATCATATACGGCCAGCTGGTTCTCACTTTTGCAGTGCGAACTGTAGCGAGTGTTTGAACGAACATACTAGAGTTAAGCTACAACATAATAAAGGAATTATTATGTTTATTCAGTTTTATTAAATGGTTTTATTGATGTGTAATCTTTAAAAGCGCCAGTTTGATACCTGCGGCACTGTGAGTACTCCTGCAAGCGATGTTCACTGAACAACTGAAAACAAACGGCACGGCGATTAAAATTACAAGAGAGACTTCCAACAATCAATAAAAGAAATATAATTCGGTGAAACATATACAGAGACAACATTTTTCATTGACGAAGACAAGTATTAAAGTGTCTCTAAAAATCCTGAGTCTTCAAGCTTAACCTGAAAGCTTAAGTTTATGTTTTAAGCCGGCTTCCCGGTATTTACTTTTTTCAAAGATGAACTCGAGGCAAGAAAATCGCTCAAAGCTTTCTTTTACAGCCAGAATTATAACTAAATGTTCTTTGGAACGTTCTCTGTCTATTTGCCGAGAGAAAATGTCTAAAGGCTTTTTAAAGTTCTGTAAGCTTATATCAAACCTGATTCTTGGTCATATCAAATTGTCTCAAATCTTACAAACGTGCATAAACTACATAGCCGCATAAACTGCGCTCGACTTCATGAAATTAGATATAAAAAACAAACATCAAACACAATAATTACTGAGGCTTACCATTCGAGATGCAGCTCCAGAAAGGTATCAAGGAAGGCCAGTATCGCTACAGACTTTTCAACCGTTACGCATCAAGCAAGGTGAAAAGCGAAATCGATGCCATCCGAAATCGGATTTCTGACAAGTTTTGACAAGTAATGTATTAATTTCTCAACCAAAAACCAACTAGCCATGAATAACAGAAGACTCCTGATAGCAGCTGAATTTCATTTTGTGCATCCAGTGGAAAAAGACAGTTAAAAACATCAGAAATTGACACAAAACTCTGTCAGCTTCAGCTGTCAAAGTAAACAAGATTCAAGATGCTGCATAAATTTTCCACAGGAGCTCACCTGTCAAATTTTGACCAATCAGAGCGTAAAAATTGGACGTAGAGCGTATACCTGCCAACTCTGCCTACGGGTTGAAAACTTCGATCTCACGCCCGCTCACGCCTGCGGACCAATTTCTCATGCCTGATTGAAAAATGTGAGTTGTTGCCGTCTTGCTTGACACAATTTCCAAAAATATGTTAACTCAGACCCATGTAAGGAACGAAAACCATGTGTAAAATGAATAAATGACAATACCTTCCTCGCAATCTCTGATTTTGTGGATAAGCGTTTTCTCGATAACTTCGCCTTCGGCAGACTTCGGACGACTTCGGAAGACTTCGGAATTCTTCGGGAATCTTCGGAAATGATCGTGTCGTTTTCAAAAATCCCAGCACTCCCAGGATAAAAATCTCACGCCTACGCGTGACCATGATGAGCAAAGTCAAATGCAACTGCCTTCCCTGCCTGTAATAGCTGGCTGAATTTTCGCGTCCGACGTCAGTTTTAAATCAAAATTTTAATTGTGCGGCACAAAAACAAAACATATTTCATATGAATTAAAAAACAATCAAACTTGAGCCTGCGATCATTTGAAAACTAGTAACTTGTCAGCGGATAACTTCAAAAAAATACTCGACCTCGATGGGTCAACACCTGAGCCCGCGATACGGTCAAGTGATACTGGTCAGCGGATAGCCTGTTTTGACAGCTGTCAATTGATCACAACATTGATGTCGAATGGATGTGTGCATTATCAGTTTTCCTGTGCTCTCTATTTAGCTAGAAAGTATGAGATTAAACCTTGATTGCGAGCTAGTAAAACAACTGGTCAGCAGACAGCTTCCAAATAAATCACGTCACCTTGATGAGTTGACACATGAGCCCCTGATATGGCAATGTGATACTGGTCAGTGGCTATCCTGTTTTGACAGCTGTCAATTGACCATATTGTGAATGGCCAATATAAAAGATATGGGTTTGCCAAGACACACCTGAGACACCCCTCCCTTCCTTTTCATAGTCTCCCCTACCCTACCCGTACAATCTGTAGACGCGTACATACGTACGTACGTACGCTCGGTCAGTCACGTGACAACCAAACGAAAAGAGGTTGACCATATTCTATGAGTATGGGGCTCTGTCCCACGCGCGCTTCGCGCGAGGGAGCCCCGCTATTAGGTTCGGCACATGTAAAGTTTGAAATTTCAACCAGGCCTAATTAATAAGGCGTTTTCAATACACCTCGTCATTAATTTACTGAAGTTGCACATTACATAATTGTAAGTGTGATGTGAAACATTATGATCTTTATGTGGTACCCTAGCCTGTTGACATGAAATACAAACACCACTTACAAACACAAATGAGTTTGGGATGAGATGATTTCTATGCCCTCTCCAGCTATAACTGAAAAAACTTTGTACCATTAAAATGCAATTAACACTTCATCTACCACTGAACTTCATTTGATTCATATACTTTTGCAGATGTTCTAATATGCATAAAATTATGTTGTATCTTAGTTGAATCCACAACCAGCCTTCATAGAAGAGAGAATAGTTTTATTTGACAAACTAAAGGCACAGTATGATGCACAAATTGAAGGTACTTGTAGTGTGTCATATTATCTCTCTTTTAGTCTGGTATGTAAGAGATTTTTGTTTTAATGTTTTTATGCACAATGAATAAATTGATAGACCCTACACAGGGTGCAAAGAAAGTCATTTTTACTTGCCCAAATGTCATTTCAACTAGCCCCCCAAATTTTTTGATGAGCACAGTTCACAGTTCTTCTGTAAGTTGAATTCCTCAAAAAAAAGCCACTTGCCCATCGGGCAAGTTAAGAACAGAATTCACTAGCCCGATAGCAAAATCCACTAGCCCCGGGCTATCGGACACCACTTTCTTTGCACACTACTACATTGGATATTATCCCAGGGATAGCCTTAGCTAGCCTGAAATTCATCCGATTGCTTCGAGTCGTTTTCTCCTCTCAACAACGTCTGAATCGACCGGCTGTTAATGCCGTCCAGTGACATCACTCACTACCCGAAAACCGGGTAGTGATTTTGATTGGTTGATTGTCTAAACATTCGCATAATTATGTATAATTATGAAAAATTTTAGCGGGATTGTTGCTTGATATTCAGCGGATGCTTCCTTTCGTTTAGTTCAAACATTGCGATAAGCTTAAGCAAAATTGCCCTTGTCTTTGAAAGTGACAGGCTAAATTGAACTGCGAATGAAGAATCATTGCGGAGAGTCGGTAGGTTTTTCATTTAGAGCCGCTTTGTGGTTTTGGCGGCCGGTGATTTTGTTTACGCGAAGTTTTCTGAGATTAATGTTACAATTTGACCTTCTTGCTATTTTTACCGTCAAGTGCAATGATTCTGTTAGCTTTTCTTTCTTGTCTCCTTGTTTTCTTTCTTCGATAAGGACCAAATAGCTTCTTTTCAATTAAAGCAAATCATTGTGTTTTTGAACTAAGTGTTCAGTGTGTGTGTTTATTTCAGTCATTGCGTGATTGCGACCGAGTTTGATTTACAGAATTTAGTACAACTGGTTCAGAGTTGTACCGCATGCAGTTGATAGTTTGAGCGTTAAATATGAATTACGATCGAAAAAATAAAAGCAGTTCTGTATCATGCAGACATTTCCAAACGATATTTCTCGGTTTGCCACTTGAAAATCGTGTTTTGCTTTTTGCATGAATTAAAGCAAAGGTCAAGGAGTAGTGACGTCACTGGACGGCATTAACGGCCGGTCGATTCAGATGTTACTGAGGGAGTAATAACGACTCGAAGTAATCGGATGAAATTCAGGCTAAGCATTAGCTAATAGCTGGTTGCTGGCTAATTTCACCGGCTGAAAAAGACCTTACCACTGCCTCAAATTCCTCTTGAAAACTAGGACATGAGGTGCAGTTGAGTGAAAAGTCGGCTTGACTAATAACAAAACCTGCTTATCTTTTCCTCAGCTACATCCCTGTTATCCCTAGAAACTCTGTAAATCTACTGAACGCTGCTTTATCTGGCATCCATAACTTTTCACAATAGCTCAAAATGTAATATGAAATCCAACATGGTGTTAAGAAATGCTTATTAACTTTTTACCTAATTCTGACTTTTTGCTAAGACCAGGCACAAAAGGTAGTAATTTAATAGAACATGTGACAAACTACAAGATCTTAAGAGTTTTTATAGCATGAGAAAACAGGCAACATTTGGTGACACCACCAACGGTTTCCCCGTGAAATGACGTCTGAGGAACGAGCATAGAAATTCCTTACTGATAACGCTTCACTACCCAGATCTGGGTAGTGCTTCTGATTGGTCATGTCGCATGGGAAAGCTGATTCACCCAATCAGAAACACTATCCAGATCTGGATAGTGACACGTCATCAGTATGCAATTTCTGTGCTCGTTTCTCAGATGTCATCTTGCAGGGAAACTGTTGGTGGCATTGCGAAATGTCATCTGTTTTCTCAAGCTAGAGTTTTTACGGACAGTGACCTCAAGATTAAGTGGAATTGCCATGTCAAATGCAAATGTTATTCATTTTTTATAAACTATTATCTATTATTTTTATTAAACTATTGAGGGTGATAATGATGACAAGGATGAAAGTGCTGATGGTGGTGTTGGTAGTGATTTTAACTACAAAAAATGTTGTGGAAAAATTTTCAATATTTTCATGAAATAATATTTAATACAGTGTTAGTATTATATTTGTATTTGTATTTTATTTATTTGTCACACAGATAATATTACAGGAACAAAAAAGACAAAAATTGCGGAAAAAATGACGAGGAGGCCTAAAGGAAACTATTTAGCTTAATATGTTATATTAGGCCTCCTCAATTTCAATTTTTCATTTTTTTTTGTTATTTAATAACAAATAATTTTACTCAATTTTAAAATGTTTTTTTTTTCTCTACAGCCAAAGAGAAAACAGCCATCAAGATTACTCTGCGTGATGGTAAAGTTGTAGATGGTCTGGCTTGGAAGACTACACCTTATGAAATTGCTGCCTCAATAAGGTATAGATGTGAATTTTTTCAACTATATGATCATTTCTCTCTGGAAGCCATGAAGAATGTAAAATTAATTATTTATAATATATCACAACATCAACTGAAAATGATTTTTACCGTGATATTTTTACTGTAAATATCTGGGAGTTAATATCTGGAAATCTCTACTAAACTTTCCCAATATCTTACTATTCCTTTTATTAGCCAAGGTCTTGCTGATAACACCGTAGTTTGTAAGGTTAGTGGTGAGTTTGTTTGTTAGGTTTGTGTTATAAAACAATTTCATTGTAATACTAACAAGAACTTAGAACTTATTTATGTCACATTTACTAGTTAAGCTACTGTCTTTCCGAAAATATCTAGGAAGCTGAATAATCTGATAAGTAAATTGCTATAATGTATGGTACTTTTCTGTCATTTTTTAGGTCAATGGTGAAGTATTTGACTTGGACAGAGTGCTTGAAGGAGATTGTTCCTTAGAATTTCTGAATTTTGATGATGATGAAGGTAACTTATTTTTGTTTTTGAATGATGCCAATCTTTTTATGGCCTAAAAATAATCATCTCTGCTGCACCTTGTGTGATTGGAGGTGCATCATTCCACAGAACGGAATGTTACTTGTTTGAATCCCAGCTGAACTACTGTACACTTAGAATCAACATCGTCAATTGTCAGCACCTTTGTCTGCTGTTGTACATGTAGGAGATAATTTTATAAGTAGAGGTTTCAATAGAAGTTGAAGTAGCCAGCAGGTTTGAATAGAGTAACTAACTGTATCAACCCGCAGGCCCCTTCCTCTATATCAAAATCCTAATGATTTCCAGCGTTCTTGGTATTAAAATTATTGAGTACAAAGGTAAAGGGAGATTTCTCGTCAACAGCAGCAGTCGTTTTTATTATTTTTGCGATACTGATCATCAGTGGGGGTGGAGCAGCAGGGGAGAGCCTAAAAGATGGATGTAGTACTGATTACAGTTATCGTTGGCATTAATTAAGCATTTACGGTGTATCTGTCGAATATTGCCATATTATATTGGGTAGCTTTAATAACTTTTATTAATTTGATTTTTATCAGGGTTCCAATTTATAGCAGGTGTCATTCTTTGTTTCAGCTAAAGCTGTATTTTGGCATTCAAGTGCTCATATTATGGGTGAAGCTATGGAGAGGCATTATGGAGGTCACCTGTGTTATGGACCTCCAATAGAAGAAGGCTACTACTATGACATGTTCTGTGAGGGAAGGTTTGTGTCCATTATTTGATGTATTATTTTTCTGTAATTAAGGTATTGCAAGGCAAGATCTCTTCAGTCGTTTCCTGTCTCACAGACTAATGGTGCTTCAGTTACATGTACATAGATTGTATAAAAAAGACAGGAGCTGCAATCTACCCAAATTTTGATTCAGTCATACACGTACTACTGTACACGTACCAGCTGATCAATTCACGCATTAACTTATTTGATAAAAGGAATTGTATGAAGTTATGTAGTTTGGTTGTCAGGCTTCAACGGATATTCTGCTTTCAGCTTGATATCTTTCATTCAATTTCAACTCATTGTTGGCTGAAGGAAAAAAAAGTTAAAATAGGGAGGGTTATTTAGTGTTGAGAGTAAAGAAATATAGATTGTATATTATCCCAGGTGTGTTAGCTTTAGACCAGGTTTTTTATTTATTGTTTAAGAGAAACAAACTTTTTGCATTTGGATCATTGTTTCAATTATTTCTGGAGAAAGATGTCGCTAAAATTGCTGCTTTCTCTCTTGCCGCATGGAACAGACAGGTGTCTTCTAATGACTACCCATCTCTGGACAGTCTGACAAAATCCATTGTAAAGGAAAAACAGCCATTTGTCAGACTTGTGATAACAAAGGAAGAACTTTTAGAGATGTTTAAGGTAATCAGACTGTCTATGAGGGCCACATTTGCTTCTGATTTAGCCATTTTTACCTCCCTTGCACTTTCATGCAGTGTAATAATTATTATTGAGGAAGTGCAGTAGATTAATTTGTTTTCTCTACTTGAATGTTCAAGTCCTGAAGTAGCAGCTCTGTGATTTATGTAGCGTCATTAACCCTTTAAGTCTCAAAATTGACCAACATCTATGTTCTCCTAACAGTATTAGAACATCATCATGAGATAAGATTGTGAGAAGTAATAAAATGATCACCAAAGGGAAACTGCTTTAAGATGGAATCCGTCAGGAAATTGAGTAATTTTAATTCTCAGTGGACCAAAACCTTCTACCAAAATAATTTAAAGAATATTGCATTCTTTTATACATTTTCATTGTCTAAAATGACCCATTATTGACTTGGCGCGATAATGGGTTTTATGATGAGGCGGGGCATTATCTTATCTTTCAGAGCGAGCTGCAGAGGTGGATAGTCAAGATAACGATAGCTGGCTAGGCACCACACACAGAGCGGGCTATAAATTCGTGAGCTTCGCTATCGCTCGCCCCTTTTTTCTGCCAACGCTGATCGTGAGCTGTTTAGCTTTTCAATAGTGAACTTATTTCTTTCTCCGACCCTCCTCCATCCCCTTGGCTCCTCCTCTGCTCTTGGTACTTTTTCACATGGGCTAATTTTCGCCCCAACTTAATTCACTGAATCAAATAACTGTCATGTTACACTAAGCGATGATTCTCGGTTAACGTGACACTTAAGCACTTGTAATTGGTTTGTAATAAACGCCACTTGAGTGGCCAAGTTATTCCAAATATGTGTTTCCTTCATTCAGTGAATCCTGGCCGCACGCACGAATGCAATTATAAATATTTCAGTCTGTTGTCTATATAGTTGGTATAACTGAGACACTCTCGGCATAAAATGTAATAAGTCTTCTGTAACAACACCAAAGAAAAATTTTTCATGGGAGTCTGAGAAAATGAATGTCAAATTTCACAAGAATTAAAAACACAGGTATATTACTGAAAATTTCATTTGTAAGATGCAATTTTGGGAGATTGGATATTCATTTTCTTGGGCTCCTGTAAGAAATATTCTTTTGTGTTATTACAGATGACTAATCACATCTTTAGCCCTTAAAAAATGTATAAAAGAATGCAATAATGCTTTAAGATATTCTGGTATAAGGTTTTTTCCTGGTGGATTCCATCTTAATCTTTTATCAAATTGTCTGAAAACTCGTCAAGGAAATGTATTGAGATCAGTTTAGAGAGTTTGTATGTGGAATTTGGGGCTTAATTAAGGGATAATCAGCTCTGAAATCAAAGAGGAATCACCCTTTTTACTTCATCAATATTTGCTTGTTATTATTATAAGGTTAAATAATTTCTTGCTGGTGCTGTTGTTATTTTAGTACAATGAATTCAAGTGCAGGATTATACGGGAAAAAATAAATACTCCATCCACAACTGTGTACAGGTGGGTTTATTTCATAGGCTTTAGAACTTGCAGACGTTTTGACCTGATCTCAGATATGTTAATCTCTATATATCAGGCTCTTTCATCCATGCACATTGTTATTAATTTCCATCCTATTTGTACAAAATTATCTTGAAGTAGAACACCTCAAAATACTTCATTAACCTGAGAAATAAGAGTAATGTTCAGTGTTTTTTTTCTAAGAGGATGGAGAAGACCAATGTGGATAAGAAAAGACCAAAATTAATCAAAACTTGTGTTTTAAATGCAAGAAAATGCAATGCAAGTTTAATCTTAAATTTTTTCCCTTAACAAATGTCCTGATATACAGTGTACCATGTCTTTAGAAAGGGTTCATAAATCTGGCTGCAACTTTTCAGCCGTGCAACCGACATCTTGCAACCATAGCTGTAATAAATTATAACAGTAAACAAGTGTCTTGAATTGGAGAAATTAAACTAATTACAGTAACTTCTTGTTCTTGAAGGTGTGGTCCTCTGATTGATTTGTGCCGAGGACCTCATGTGCGGCACACTGGCAAAATAAAGGCTATGCAAGTCACAAAGGTATGTTTATGATAGTAAGTACCGTAATATAACTTTCATTTTTCCATAAGAATTCTTACACAAGAGAGAAAAAAGACAAATCTTGATACTAGAGTATTGTGTGATGCTACTGTACTACATTTAAATCCCTTAGAATGTCAAAAATGGGTTTCCTTTTTTTGTATTATTAGAATTCTGCTACATACTGGGAAGGGAACTGTGAGGCGGAATCTCTTCAGCGGTTGTATGGAATCTCATTTCCAAATGAAAAGCAGGTAAATAACTTGTGAATATATTTTCCCAAAATTCTGGTATTGACAGATCAGAGAAAATAATAGGTCTCTTAACCACAGAGTATTGGTTACAAGTGTGATTACTGTGTTTGCATCTACAAGCAATAATTATCTTGATGTGAAGTACCGGTATATGAAATAATTCATATTTGAACTGCGGTTGTAGATGAAAGTGAAGAATGATCATCGCAGTGAATTTTCCAATTTAAGCAATTGGAAAGAAGAAGCCTGAAAAAAAAAAAAAAAATCAGGCCTTCAACGGGATTCGAACCCGTGACCTCCGCTTTGCCGGTGCGTTGCTCTACCAACTGAGCTATGAAACCACACATTGGGAGTGAGGTCAATTTATTGAGTTCATATCTCCCGTGAAGAGTGAAATGATGTGAAGTATATGAAATAATTCATATTTGAACTGCGGTTGTAGATGAAAGTGAATAATTATCTTATCAACATCATAAGGGACCTTTAGATTTTAAGACAAGGAAGACTACGAGTACATGATTTTCTCAATACTACAGCTGTATTTAGTGCTCATGTGTGAGCCAGCGTCATTTTTGCGGGAAAACATGATAGTGGTCATCATCATCTGTGAGTTTTAACAAGAATGTCGTTGTGATGGAAACAAGTTATCAAAGTAATGTTTGAAGTTGTATTATTTTGCGATTAGAAAAGGGCTGTACCTCCTGCAATTACGATAATGGTGCTAACTTTTCTGGTGAAAAAAGTACAATGATGCTTTCCTGGGTGTCTATAGTTTTACAGTAGGCAAAAAAAATTAAAATCAAATCTTGTCCTCGAATCTTAAGGTCCCTGTTCCGTCTACTCTGGATGAATTAATATAGTTTAACTAGCTAGAAGGGTGGTGGTTCCTCTATCTCACGCTCTCAGGAAAAGTGTTCTTGCAGGCAAACAAAATAATATTATATTATTTGGCTCCAGAGCTCCCAGATTAAAATAGATCCAGTTTGCCAATCTTCATCATCAATTCTGTCTTTTCCATTATAATAAAAAAAAATTCCTTGCAAAAAGAAAATAAAGTATAATAATTAATAATAATACATAGGTAAATAAATAACAAATACCCTGCGAGCTGAGGCTACATTTTTGCTGTGTGAGCTGTCATGCAAAAAGTAGCCTCTGCCGACAACTGTTCAAATCCGTCCAGAAGTCTGGACTAATAAATTAAAAAAACAGGTTTTTTTTCTGTTCTCGACCAGTTTAGAGCATTGTGTGAGTCTTGCATAGCAGATCAGAGTATTCGCAATTTTTTTATTCCCGCCAGGCTTGCACCATTCGACGACAGACCTGACAATTAACTGTGCTTGTGAATCGCTTGACGAATTTTGCGCATGCACCATAGAAAATAATATTGAACTGTTGTCGGCAGAGGCTACTCATTGCACAACAGCTCACTCAGCAAAAATGTAGCCTCTGCTTGCAGGGTAAATAACAAATGTCTCTTTTTCCAAATTAGATGAAAGAATGGAAGAAATTTCAAGAAGAAGCTGCCAAAAGAGATCACAGAAAACTAGGAAGGGTATGTACATTTTTGAATTTGCAGACTTTTTAGATTTATATTTTTTATTTTCTTTAACAGCTCTACGCATACATACTTTCTTCAAATTAATATGACCAGTTACGTTATTATAACACACCTGTGACAGTGTGTGCCATTACTTTTCCTGACCAACTGTAGGACTTATTCAACCTACAATCATTGGTAAATTTTGATCTTATGTACAGTTTTCTTTCAACAGGATCATGAACTGTTCTTCTTCCATGAGTTGAGTCCTGGAAGCTGTTTCTTTTTGCCCAAAGGGGCTCACATTTACAATACTCTGATAAACTTTATCAAGGTCTGTTATTATGCATCTGCCCATATGCTTTGTTTTTATGTTTGTAACAGATGTCTGTATATTTTAGGTTTCATAGAGTCATATAAAATAGTTCTAACCAGTCTAAGTGACCCTTCTAGTGGAGAGATGAGATCATTACACGTTTCTGGGAAACTACCCACTTACCCCTCCCCTAAGCCAACATTTTGACCTAAGTGAGATGTAGGTGTTAATGTTGGTTTAGGGGAGGGGTAGGTGGGCAGTTTCCCAGAAACATATAATGATCCAGGGATTTTGCCTTGGCATATGATTTGGATATGTTAGTGGAGTTTTGTGTTATCTCAAGTTATATATAATATCAGAGTTTTTGCTAAAGTTATTATTTTTACTGGAAATGAGCCTGAACACAAAGGCACAAACATCTAGAGGGGACATGACCTCTTTCTTGGAAATGTTTTGTTATGAAACAAAAATCCCTGGATTTTTTTTTTTTTTTGACCAGTGGTCTACAAATACAGTGCAACCTCCCAGAATGCCCTTTTTTGTTGTGGTATAAACTGCATACAACCCATGTAGTTGTTCACTTAGGAGAGATGGTTGTAAATTGAGTTACAGCTTTATTCTGAAGTTATCCTATGCTAATGCTACTGCATTTCTGTTAATGTTGTTCCAGGAGGAGTACCGCAAGCGTGGATTCCAGGAAGTTGTGTCACCCAACATTTACAGCACCAAGCTATGGGAGACCTCTGGACACTGGCAACATTACTCAGTAAGACATTAATTACTAGACGCATATAAACTGTGTGAGCTTGGGCGTTCATATAAAATTATTCAAATGAGAAAATTTCTTCTAAGAAAGCACAATCTTCAAAGGCCGCCAAGGTATATAGAAATGCAAACAACAGTCTGTATGCATAAACATCTGGTAACGATGCTTGTATGACAATAACGTATTAGATTGCAGTAATTGTATAGCAGAGGTCATAAAAACATAAGAAGATAAAATCAGTGACATCAAGAGAGAGGATATAGTTACACAAAAAGTAATTGAAGTACTCAATTCATTTGCTGTTTCTTCTTGTGCATGGCAACTAAGCTTAAAATGGAGGCATTCCTAGTATCTTCGACAAGACTCTTGAGTTGATCAGAAACACTCTGTCCAAATTCTGTTGGTAGCTCACTACTTGGAGAGGGTTTCTCGTTAAGGTTCACTTAGAAGAGTTAGTCAGTCTGACGGAATTGAACCGTTTGCTGGCCATCTTTTACTGTAGATCTAGAGATGACCAGCGTGTGCATTTAGTATAACGTTTTCAGGTATAACGAATGACAGAATTCATTCTTCTGATCACTTACTTTTTTTTTTTTGCTCACCATCTGCTATGTGCTCTGGTTTAGAGCATTGACCTAGTTTACGAAAGTTTACGCATACTCTTATATCTTGCGCATGCGTTCAAGGCGCCATAGAGGCCGATTTGTGGTGGAAGAAAAAAAACCGTTCCCATTTTTTAGCTTGGTCGTTCCCATGGAAACGCCCGAGCAATAATAATAAAAAAGAGTTTTAAGGGGCTATGCCTCAAGGATACTGCTGTTGTTTTAGGTCAATTCTGTGCTGAAGTCCTTGCTTGACTTGCTTAGTGCCTTTTAACAATAACAATTAAACGAATATGAAATCACTTAACAAGTAATGTCTTCACTCCTGTTGCGAATGTGTATCTTAAACTACCCTGTATGAACTTGTCCTGAAAACTCACATGAACATCATTTTGCATGATGATTTTTATTTTGTGGAAGGTTGGTTTCCCTTTTTTTATGATCACTGTGATCACAGAACAAGGTTCAGCTACTCACCTCAGTTCTGGCTGAATTACTTATGATCAGTGCAATTGTTTGGATCACTAGATTCCCCAGTTTTTCTTCAGCTATCCATAATAGTTTTAGTTGTCATACTGAAACTGGCCTCACATGTGCATGTGTCAACTTGTCTGTATTTGGTGATTTTTTTTCCTCTATGTCCTGCGTCCCTGATACATAAAAATCCCCAAGACGCAAAACAAATCGGGGCGTGCGTCCTGTAGGACGCTAAGATCGAATGATCGATCTGAACAGGTGTTTTTCTAGAAATATTCTGTCCGTGTAATATTTATTACTATGGCATTTATTATGGCTGTTGTTTAATGATGCATATTTCATTTGGCCTTTGTTGTGCTTTAAAAGAGATGGACTATATGTAAATTTCAGTATACTGAAATACAGAGTTTTGCAGTCTGTCTTCAGATTAACTGTCTGGTTACGTTAAGTCCCAAGCTTTTTCAATTTAGAACTCGTTGTTTTTTGAACTGGGACTCAATGGTTCTGGAGTGGAACTCACGATTTGTTCACAAGATGAGTCCCATGACTCACCATAACTATTTGCAACAAAATCACTCTGTATTATTTGTTTGTAGACTAAAAATTTATTATTATCACTATGCAGTTGCATGTACTGATTCTTTGATTAATTTGCTAGGAAAACATGTTCTCATTTGAGGTGGAGAAGGAAAAATATGCCTTAAAACCCATGAACTGTCCAGGGCATTGGTATGTTTTTGTAGAATTTCAACAATTTGTAATGTAATGTAGCGAGGTTCCGGTTAAAGCTGCAGATACTTAAAACCCTATATCAAATCTTGCTATTGTAACAAACCAATAATGTTTAAAAATACTTGCAATGTCAAAAAACAACAGCATTCGCCCGCTAATCCCACCGGCTACGCAGCCTGTGATGATGCAAGTTTTTGGCTCTGCTCTATTTCCAACTGTTCTTTAACTCTTCTTAATTACTGACTTGGCTGTATTCACGAGCGGGAAAGATGACGCGAATCCTGTATTCAGATTGGCTACCCGAGCGGGCAAGGGGAGAACATCTTGCCCGTTCGGAATTTCCCGCGTTGGTCCCGCAAAAGAAATTTCTGTAATAAATGTATACATACATGTAATAAATACATTTTTTTAACTATGTTTGTTCGTTGAAAATGGCTGGATATTGGCCTCTTTTTTGTGTGTGTCTTTTCATCAGCTTCAACTTCGTTTTGGTCTACAGTGTATAAAAACGCAGCTTACGTGGCATGCGTCCAAAGGAGAGGTGAAAGGAGGGTAAAAGGGAGAGGGGATTGGGAAGAGAAGGAAAGGGACTCTCTCCGACTGTTACTCTCTCCATTTTCTCCTTAGCGCTTTTCTCTACCCTCCCTGATTTTGTTGTTGTTGTTGTTCCAGCGTTATGTTTGATCATCGTCCTCGTTCATGGCGTGAACTTCCCCTGAGGATGGCAGACTTTGGGGTTCTTCATCGCAATGAGTTGTCTGGCACGCTGACTGGACTGACCCGTGTCAGGAGATTCCAGCAAGATGATGCACATATCTTCTGCAGACCAGACCAGGTCTGTTAAGAATGTTCCTCCTTTTCCAGGTTCCTTTTGCTGTTAGGGAGCTTTTAAAACAGCTAATAATATCAGGGAGCTTAAGCAAAGACGTTTTTGAGCAACGCACGTCAACCGCAAGTGAGGTATTTTTCATTTAAAACACCTCGACGCTACAAAATTTGTATTACTAAGTTTCTTTACTGTTATGGAGACGACTTGTTGGAATATTTGGGCAAAACCACCGCCCATGAATGGAAAAAGTCTACTTCCGGTTGATGTACGTCGCTCAAACCCTTTTTGCTTAAGCTCACTAAAACATGTCCCATGACGGCAGCAAAAACGTCGCCGTCGCCGTCGTCACTGCTTCAGCTCGCTGTTGTTATCTAGAATCCGGTTGGTTTAGTGGTTGAAGCTTGACTTTGAATCTGTAGGTCCAGACACATGCTTTGTCATCTCGCTGTCTTAGCTCCTCATTCTTTCTATTTTTCCACCCAGGCTGCTAGTAGTGCTATCCACGGGGTAAATCACTATTAATTACAACTGTGTCACCTACTGGATAGATGGTTTTTTAAATACTCAAGTTGAGCATTGTAACCTGAAATTCATGTAAACTACAAGACAAGCTTAAAGCAAGGGGCACACGTGTTGTGTGGAGCTTGCGCTTAAAGGATTGCTTTGCACTCGCCTCGGCAGGGTTCGCCCGTTTGTAGACCCGACGGCTATGGCATGCCGATTTGCCCTAATAAGGGCGAAACAGCTGTCCATGGCTGCTACTGCCCGGTAGATATGGCTGTGCGCATGCGTGAGATACTGGCCAGGCTGTGGATGGGTGTATGCGTGCTCCTTGCTTTAAGTTTGTCATATAAACTACAGCTTGTCTGACAGTCTTTGTGTACTCTGCAGATTGGCGAGGAAATTAAAGGCTGTCTGGATTTCCTGAAGTTTGTGTATAACAAGTTTGGCTTCACCTTCAAACTCTACCTATCCACCAGACCTGACAAGTATATGGGAAAACTAGAACTGTGGAATGATGCAGAGAAGGTGAGTCTACCAAGGGCTTGATAAGGTGCCGATATATCGTTAGCATAATTAGAGAGCTTTACCGAGGGCTTGATAAGGTGTCGATACAACGTAAGCATTATTAGAGACCTTACGCTTCGAGGACGATAGTTAAATTTAAGTTTTTTTACGCGTATTCTTAAAAGCACCGGAAAGCTTTTTTAAATTTTAATCACCAGAAAAGTTAGCACGGTGATTTTTATTGATGGAGGTTAACCCCTCTCTTGATCTCAAAATGGCAAAACGTCTAACATATGACAACTTGGTTGTTACCATTTACTTAGATGGATACTTTAATACTGATGATAACAAAGAGAAAATAAGAAAATTATCTACATCTTATAGACATGGCTAAAAATAAAACTTTTCTTCAAACGCTCGGTTTTACATAGGGGGAGAGTGAAATCACTTTTGCGTCTCAGTGCATATTTACAACTCTTCCTTTGGGGGAGGAGGCTATGGAGACTGTGGGTGGGGTTACAGACGATCTCGTCGAACAGATCGATTGAAATCTTTTCTCTCCTCTCATGAAGTTTCGGTAGGCCAACTGTTTCTAGTGCTACACTATATGACAGGTCAGGATAGATGATTCTGAAAGCCCTTCTTTGGATCCGTTCCAAATCTTCACTGATGTAGTTTGATAGAGAACGATGGAATACAGGACTTGCGTATTCCAGGACGGGCCTAATACATGTCACATAGAATTGCACCAGTTCACTTGGTGCCACTCCCGATCTCTTGAGTTGACGTAAAAAGTAGAGACGAGAGGAACATTTTCTAATTAGTTCAGAGGTGTGCATGTTCCACTTTAAATCGTGGCTAATGGTCACGCCTAGCAATTTGGCACTGGTGACTAATTCAAGGGGTTTGCCATTTAGGACTAGGGGTTCAAAATCGTGGTTGCTGTTGGAGAATCCAATTCGAAGTTCTTTGCACTTGGCCTCATTCAGTTGGAACCCATCGAGACTCGCTTGTCTCGAAAGGTCATCCTCAGCTTCTTGGAGTTTGCTCTCACTACACTTTGTAACTATTTCGGAACAAGATGTATCATCCACGTATTTCCACATGTCAACTGGTGTGTCCAAGTCATTAATCATGACAAGAAATAACCAGGGGCCTAGTTTTGTTCCCTGGGGGACACCGGATGGCACAGAGCGCCATTCAGAGTGACAATCCTGAGCAAGTTTAACTCTTTGTTTCCGGTCCATCAAGAAGTCAACAATCCAGCCTTTGACTTGACTCGGAATATCATATGTTGTTAGTTTTTGAACAAGAACACTGTGATCTATAAGGTCAAAGGCCTTACGGAAATCAAGTAGGACTACTCTTGCCGTGGCGTCATTTCCGTCGGTGTTAACAAGCCAATTACAATTACTTGGGCAAACTGGTCGGTTCACGGTAAGCAAAATACAGGACTGGTGTAAATTTCGTCCCGAAATTGCTTTTATTAGTCGTACAAGGTAGTTCTATTTGCTGAGAAAAAGGCCCCGAAATCCTGTGGCATCAAAGATGCCGTTGAAGAAATGGAACGCGAGTTCCTGTTTGGAACATTCCGTCCGGAAAAATAGGCTAAAAACCGGAGTAGAATGGCGACGGCTATCGCGTTTTCCCACAGAAATAGCGCCGGTTCACGTGCTTGCGTTACTTAGTATTGAGAAAATCTCGTCTTCGTAGTCGTACTCAGCGTCTTAGAATCTAAAGGCGGTAATTTCTAAAAAAGATGCATTAAATATAGGAGGGAAGGGGTTCTTATCGTTTACACAAACCACACGGGTGGAAATCTTGTACGTAAACATAAGACTATAAAATTTGAGGTGGTGAAAGGCCGACCCGATACAAAGTATATCTAAGTCAGCTAAACCGACTAAAATGAGCTAGTGGAAAACTTACATGGCCTCAAATTACAGCCCATGTTTTCTGAACCTTCCCAAACGGAATGAGGCAAACCATTTGATTATCTAACCGGAATATCCGGTTTTCCCATGTAGATGGTAAGTACCCAAGGACACTCGCAAGTTTTCTCTGCGTATGTTTATTCCTTGTAATTTGGAAGGCGTTTGCGGTATCCGATAAAATGACGCCAATTATTAGTACAGGCTGTAGCTCAGTTGTTTCGGTAGGGCTGGAGAAAATGACAGACAATTTCACACCTTTTGCGAAGAAGAAATAGCCGAGCGTCTGCCTAAAACCATAGAAAGAACGTTAAAAATACAACTCAACGAATGACAACTGCTATTTGAAGAATTATCTTCTATACGGCCTCGGCGCTTAACACTCTCCGAAATCTGCCTAATTCTTCATGTCATACGGAAGCTAAATCCAATAATTGCAACTGCTTATTGGTTCCTCCATCAGCACTGTATTAAATCATTAAGGTCTTTTTGTGTGATGCAGTTTGTAGTTACTTAGTCCTTGAAAAGTTTTTTTGTGTGTTGATAACAGTTTGATTCTTTGTTTTCTCCAGGAACTTGAAAACTCATTAAATGAGTTTGGAATGCCATGGACTTTGAACCCTGGTGATGGAGCCTTTTATGGGCCGAAGGTAATAATTTCTGTGCCTTCCAAAGTCAAAAGCTACATGGCTTCACAAAATTTAAGCATTATGGAATGCCTGACGGTGAATGGAATTCAGCTCCTACAGTAGCCTGCGTGGCAGGCGTTCGAAATGGAAGGGGAAGGGAATTAGGGCGCGAGACCACGCGACCACTGTTTCCCTCCCTCCTTCCTCGCGCGCCCCTCGCGTTTCTCTCGCGCCCAAAACTCCCTTTCTCAAAACTCCCTTTCCCTTCCCTTTCAAACGCCTGCCACGCAGGCTACTCCTACAGGAGAGCCGTCTGTTCGTGGCTCAGGCTTGTTTTGACCCCTTTAGGAGTCCATAATTCATACCCGGGTCCAACACATCTTGTCGGCATTTGTTTGTTTGTTTTTCTCACATAGATAGAGCGATTTTCGTATTAGCCTGCGAAAACATCCGTTTCTCCTCGCTCTTCGCAGCTGGGGACGTTTCGCGCGGAAGAACGTCTGAGACTCAGCGGCAAACATTCCATACTGATGACGCAAATCAATGTTTACATAATAAACCCGGTAGTCATGGTATTTGTCCGGTTTACGTGCCTTCTGGTCGATCTTGGTAAAGTGTTTTGTTCATCTGCCAACAAGCTCCAGCAAAACTCAAATACTTCTTCTAGAGAAGACTTTATTCCACAAATATTGACTGTTTTGTTAGAGATTCTTCGCGTTTACATTTGACCTTTGTGGCCTTTTGTGGTCTTCTTGTCTGTCATTCGTAAACAGTAGCTAAAACAATGTAACTACTCCGTCATCCAATCAACGCTTCTGACCGGATTCTGGACAGATCTTACGTCATCAGTATGGAATTTCTGTCGCTGAGTCGCAGACCTTCATCCGCGCGAAACGTCCTCAGCGGCGAAGAGCGAGGAGAAACAGATGTTTTCGCAGGCTATTTTCGTATGACCTTGACATGAAAACGCGCAAACTAACCAGGAACAACAAACCAACGGAAATAGAGCGATTTGATTGGTTTATCAAACGGAAACAAACGCGCGTGGCTTTTGGTTGTTTAAGCGAACGCTCGGGTAAAATAAACTTCATGCAGTAGAACTTTCTAGAATTCAAGCGATACTTCGCTTTGACGTCATAATGCAACACGATTGGCCAATCGAACAATGCCTTCTCCATATTAGGGTTTTCTTTGGTGGGAAAACGAAGAGGCCATGTTTTGATCTTTTCATCCATTGGCTGATAAACAAATAACGAACACTTACCGAAACCATTTTTCAAGGTCGAAGCGAGCCGAGCAGTGGTCTGGGTAGGGAGAAAGGGCGGCTCCCCTCCCCTGACTACATAGATGTTTTTTCTCCCACGCCGATTTTTTTTGTCGTTTTTCCCGTAATGCGGAGCCTAGTTCCAGGCTAGGTTGTGAGTCCCCCGGTTTTAAAACCTGCTAATGCCCCTTACGAAGATGTATGTGCAGTGGCAGTTTATAGTATTCTAAATTAAAGTTACGCCAAGCAAGCAGGCCCAATTATCTACCACAGCTTAATTTAATTATGGTCACTTAATGTTTTCATGTTTGTTTTTGTTTGCCTTTGTGCTGACAGATTGATATTCAGATACAGGATGCCCTGCGCAGATATCACCAGTGTGCCACAATCCAACTTGACTTCCAGCTTCCTGAAAGGTTCAAGCTATCTTACGTCAGGTCAGAGCCCTTCTTGTTCTGTTTCATTTTTATAGGAAAAAGTTCTCTAACTTGTACGTCTTACTCTCGTCAGCTTGGTCACTCTTAATAGTAACCACCATCTAATTTCTCCTTATTGTATTATGGCTGACAAATTACCGTTTTGAATTTTGGCACCAATCCCGCAATTTATTCCTTATAACCTTTCGCCCCATGCATGAGATCTGGATTCTACGCCGTGGATTCCACATTTCAGGTAGTGGATTAAAGTCTTTGTCAGTGCAACTTGAATTCTGGATTTCAATCGTTAGTGGAATCCGGTCTCCTCGAGCTGTATTCCAGATTCCAAAGCCCAGGATTCCAGATTTCACAGGCAGAATTTTCCTGAATTTCGGAATCCGGGCTCCCTTACACTGGACGACACCTTGTTACTGTTTTTGTTTTCACTATGAAATATTCATCAGTTGTTCCATCAATCGATCAAATCAATCAAAGTCTTCATCTTATTTCGATTTGTTAGCCCTCAGAAACGCTAATCTCTCCCAAGAAAATAAGTTTATTAAAATTATAAAATTCATTAAACTACATAGATAAATACTAGATGTATTGTATTTTTGTATTTGGTGGCTTTGAAGAATGGAAGTAGATATTTTAGTGAGTTCTGAAGGAAAAAGCACACTCTTCCCAGGTATAGTTGACTGTTTTTATTGTGATACAGCGTGATGACTTTGTCATTTTTTTTTATTTTAGTGGCGAAGGAGATGAAAAGAAAAGGCCGGTCATCATCCACCGCGCTATTCTGGGCTCAGTGGAAAGAATGATCGCCATCTTGACTGAAAATTTTGGTGGAAAATGGTAATGTAATTTCTACAACACCCGTTTATACTTGTAGCAGTGCGCAGTTGAAACATTTAAGAGGACTGATCAGTAAGCGGGAGGTTAGATCGAGGGAAAGCTTGGCTATAAGATAGGGATGGAAGCCTCTTCCTCACTAGTCTCCCTCGCAGCCGTTTTTGTCCCGTCACGCAACGCTACTCTCCCCCAACAACAAGGAGCGTTGCGTGACGTTCGGACAAAAACAACTGCCTGGGAGACCCCTTCACTTTTTCTGGGCTCATTCCCTCGCTCCATTCTTGCTCCTCACGTGACCATTTTCCCACCAATGATAGCTCCAACTTCCGGTATTTAAACCGCACACAACCCACAATTCCCGGATTCGCTCTGACGAAGGCGGCTAGCACTCGAGACTTAATCTTCTCAATCTCCATACGGTGGCCATTGTAATTCAGCAACTCAGTTCATAAAAACAAATCATTGTGTTTACCTCTGTCACCGACTCAACACCACTGTAAACTAATCCCCTCCAGCGGGTCAATTTTTTTCTCACATAAACGCTCGATAAAGTTGAACCGGCGGGGAGGTTGATCCTTCTATCCGGGAAAGGTTCTTTCCAGTAAAACGGGGCCTTAGTCATGATGCTAACACTCACTGTCTAACAAACAATTCGCCACTTTAGTAACTTGAAGGGAACTGGTGCCGAAATGCGTACCGCAATATGTTTCTAGGATCGTTACCGGGGACGCGCTGGTCAGCTATTAGGGAGTTTTAAGCAGCGACGTTTCTGAGCGACGCACGTCGACCGGAAATGGACTTTTTGCACTCTTGGACCATGATTTTGAACAAATGTTTGGGCAAATCGTCTCTGTAAGAGTTAAGACACTAAGCGATACAGATTTGGTAGCGTCAAGGCATTGAAAAAGAGAAAAAGGCTCACTTCCGGTCGACGTGCGTGGCTCAAAAACGTTGCTGCTTAAACTCCCTATTGGCCAATTTTCCCCTTTGTCCCTGGGAACAGTCCCAGAAGTCTTCGCGAAAGTCAACTCGTCCCACTTTTCCTCTCGCTTCTAAAGTGGAGATTGCTACTAAATATTATTTTGACTTTTGTCCCTTTGCAGGCCGTTCTGGCTGTCACCAACTCAAGCCATTGTGATCCCCGTGTCTCCTAAATACGAAGAGTACGCGAACAAGGTAACTTTGTTATAACAAAGTCAACAATGTCCAACGTAATAAAAGAAGTTATTCCCAATATATCTTGCGTTCGCAGCCTAAGTCTGCTTTTTCTTGGGTGTCTTCACGATCCTTATTTATTTTCCTGTGTACTAACGAACTCAACGACTAAAGTTAGAGCAGCTGCCTTCCTGGAGCAGGGGTCGTGGCAAACAAAACTTGAGAGTGCAAAAAGTACTCAGACAGCTAGCCTGTGGGGAAGCTACACATTTTGAGCGGCGAGCGACGCGAGAGAACAAGCTTCTCCTTTCAAGTGCATGACTTCTCACGATATTCCCAAATGGAGAGCTTGCTTGCAGGTTCGAAGACAGTCGCAGTCTAACTGAGTTATCTTTCGATGTTGCAGGTCAAGCAGACCGTTTGGGATGGTGGGTTTTTGACTGATATTGATCTTGATCACGGTACAACACTCAACAAGAAAATCAGGAACGCCCAGCTTGCACAGTACAACTTTATTTTTGGTGAGAGATCTTTTATCTTATTTGTTTAATTAAAATACGTTTCGACTGCGTGTTAGCTTTGGAGTGTCAGAGAAACTAATGATCACACAAGAGCTAAAAAATCGTGATGGCTGGACTCGCTGGTGCGGAGAGAAGACTAGCCAAAAGTCGATTTATTAGGTTAAAATTCAGATTGAAACAATGGTAGAAATAAACTCTCAGGTTTCAATGATTTCATTTTTCGGAGCTTCATATTGGTTTCCAGTGCTTTGGTGTGAAAGCTGGCTGGGCTTTCAGCGTGTTATTGCTCTACTACATGCGACCATTCCTCACATGAAACTGTTCACGCGAGTTTCTATGTTAACTATAGTGACTGTCCTTGTTTAGACAGGTGCGGGATAGCCTGTAGAGAGGCGTTATTCATTTATTTGTTTGTTTGCTGGTTGGTTTTTTTAGGCAAACAGAAGCCGACTCGAGCGTGACACGCGTTACGGTGGGGTGCACCTCAAGTCGTGTAGGACTCGCCCTTCGGGCTCGCCTCGCTCCTGGAACGCAGAAAACAAAATTACGCCCTTTTAACGGTTAAAAGCTCGACTTCATGTGGCCCGTCTGATTATTATGATAATTGGAGTCCCTCCGGTGATACGTGCAATTGATTAGCGGTTGGTACAATTTTTAGTGAAAAGTGGCGTGAAATGGAGGCACCCTTTCGCTGTTTTTCCTGTTCAGTTTTCTTTGCGCCGCCCTCACTAGTTGAACGCCTGGAACAGGCTATGAAATTGCAAGCTTTTAAAAACGTTCATTGTCTTAGCAAGGGACAACAGTGTTGCTACCATCGTTTGATTTTCTGAAAGTTTATATCGGGGGACAGGGGAGTTTAATTTTCGGCCGGTAATTTGTCTTTCATTCTTTTTTCAGTGGTTGGCGAAAAAGAAGAAAATTCCAACACTGTAAATGTTCGCACTCGCGACAACAAAGTCCACGGAGAAATTAGCATCGAGAATTTGCTGGAAAAATTCGCCTATCTATCCAAGGAGCGAATCAAGAACAGTGAGGATGAATTTTAACTTGAAATTAAAGTATTTTTCACGAAATCAAGTAGTAAAAAACATTAAAAAAATAGACTGTTCTGCTGGAAGCGAAAGAAGTTAAAAAGACAGAGGTATTAATGTAACAGGCTCATATTCGCCGCTTTACAAACGAGAAAGTTACTGGAGCCAAAATGTGTCTCGCAGTGGTCTCTGGGATCGTTACTGCATGGGGAAGCGCTGGTCAGCTATTGGTCGATTATCTTTCCCCGTCCCAGAGAGCCTTAGAAGTCCTAGCGAAAGTTACCTATACTCAGTTTTCGTGGTGAATTATCCAGTCACAATAAAAGAGAATTATTGTACCTCTAACCTCTTAGGCTACGGATGGATTTTACTCGCGCGACGATTCAAATAAAACCTCTTTATAGAAGTACTTTGGCAAGGAACGATTTGCTTTCTTTTTTTTTTCTCAATGTCTTTTTAAAGTACCGTGAGGATAGTCTGAAATGTCAGCCGTGTCTTCTACCCACCCCTCTTCCCCCCGTACGGAGGGGGGTTGGGGCGAAGAGACCGTTAACATTCCAGACTAGAGACGTATCTAGAAATATTCCAGTAGTGCGAGCTATTATTCCCTTGAGTACCCCCCTGTTTTATATACTCTTCCCCCCACCCATGATTTTCACTTATCCGGGTCTGTGTTCTAGGAGATATCTATATACAGTCTGTAGTTAGCTTGTAGCTTAGTAGCTGTATGTCTGCAGCATGCTTGTATTTTACTTTGAAATGAACTCGTTTGTTTCCTGAGCCAATCTTACAGATATGTAATGCCGCTCTTACTTTTGAGTCTGTGGTAAAAGCCAGTGGTGTTTCCATCGGTATTTTGTTCGATTATGCCACTGATTTATAAAATAAAATTGTTGCGCGTCTGCAGCTTAAACAATCTTCTCGGAAAAATTCTGTTGCCTCAGGTCTCCCGATGTCAAGATTTCGCATGTTTGAGAATAGCTAGTTTATTAAGTTTGTGATGTAACGCTGAATATTATATACGTATCGTCAGTTCATTTGCTAGACTAGCAAGTCGGGGTAACCCTCAAAACCCGGAAATGAAACCAGAGTTGGCACGTGAGGACTAGTTCGTGGCCATTCACCAAGGTCATAAAGGAGGGCGTGATCGTGATTTGCTGCGCGTTCTCAACAGTGCGCCGCTTGTATCGATATCTTGACTAGACGCACTTCAATATTAAATTGCCAAGGCGATAAAGCCTGAATGTTTGACATTTAAACAACTGGCACAACAACAAGCCGGACGTGAACTGTGAACACTGTATGATATCTTCACCTAAGAGCCGAGGCTCCTTCTTCACCGCCAAAAAAAAAAAAAACAGTACCTCTACCAACTGGTGATCTTAGCATTAATTTATCTCTTAAACATATGAATTTCGGTACCGCTGATGAAATTATACCAGTGAATTATTTTTAGGAAACGTGAGGTGCAAAAGGTTTCTCCTGATAAAGCGGAAGATGTGTAATAGCAGGAGTCTAATACCAATAGGCTCCTGGTAATAGCAATCATTACTCAACTTTGTTACAACGGACTAGATATGTTCTACCCAACTAGCGATGGAACTGCTATTTTCGAGCATGGCACTATGTAAAATGTCCAGCTGCCACACCTCCTTGAATAATAAATGCGGTAACTCGGTTATCCATGGTTTTCCGATTGACTAATCTTGTGGCTTCCTGTTGTGCTTGTGCGTGACTCACTCCATCAACTCACAGTCAAGGGCGGGTTCAGGGGGTAACTCATTACTCAAGCAGGTCAGAGGCAAAGAGAGAAACAAATTCAATACTATATCTGATATTCCATGATTTCATTGCAAAACACCACGCAAAAGACATGCGTTTCACACGCATCACACGGCTGATTAAACTTGCCAAATGTACATTAAAATACAATGCGGTATTTTAGCGACTGGTGGAAATGTTGTGGTTCATTTTTAGCCTTTGTGTGTGTGTGTGTGTGTGTGTGTGTGTTTTTTTTTTTTCAGTTTTGTTAAAATGTCTGAAACGGAGGAAAATAAAGTTTAAAGTAAGGATAAGGTTCATTTACAATAGAGATGGCTATTTTATAGAACGATTTGTACCAGGGCGGATAGAGGTTCAGAGCTCGCCTTTTTTTTTTTCATCTCCGTTTCTTTAGAGGCTGTCTCCACCACTATGAAAAACTGACCGGAACAGGCCCTTTAATTACTTATCGCTGTCAGCTCCAATATTTACACAAAAGTTAACCAGATTTAAAAAGCTGCTTGAATGCAGAGGCCCACGCAACGCGTAAATATAACTGAATGATTCCTCTTGCCGGATCTCTAATAAAAGAGATGCTGTAGCCAAACGTCACTTGGAGTGTAAAATAAAACAAAACTGAATGCAAGACTGGCACTACGGCAAAGGGCTGATTTATTGTAGGACAATATTTCGGCTAACAAAATCCAGAGTTATCCCCATGCTTTTCCTTAAGTTAAATTGTTAGTTGAGAGAACTTGATAAAATACGATTCTATTTTCACTTGACATAATGTGACTGCGCGATGTGGTAGTTATGTCAGCCCACAAATGACCTGCTCATCACCGAGTTCTCAGTACCTCAGTGGTTAGAGCATCCAACTAGTGTACGGAAGGTCGTGGGTTCGATTCCCATCTAGAACGCAGGATTTTTTTCTTTGTTCTTCTCTCCACACATATCATTTCATGATCATTTATGATTCTATTTTGCTTTTGGTATTTATTTTATTACTCTCATATCATTTTCTCCTGATGATGTATGAATATTGTCAGAAGAGAATTGATGCTGGTCTTGTTATAATAATAACACAATGAACTGTAACCAGGCTTGTGAGCGCGCGAGAATTGACAGTCCCCACCAACAGTGCGCTGATTTTAAACTATGTGAAGGGCAAGCGCGCGCTCTCTTGCATTTTGATTAGCTTGCCGAGTGAAGTGTAGTTTTCGCGTACGTGTTAACGGAAAAGTATGCGGTTCACTTGAGATTTTGTTTCTCCACCTACCCTTTGCTTTGATTTTATCCTACAGACAAAAAGAGCCCTTGCACTGGATTTTAAGAAATAGCGCTGATTCAGTAGTCAGAAAAATATGTTGTTCCTTCCTTCTTGGGGTTTCTTAGAATTACCTGGTTTCTTACCAGTATGTGAAATATCCGGAAGTAAAGGTACCTGGGTCACTGTACGTGTCCGTTGCATTGATCTCTGAAAGTCAAAAGGGACGTGTGATGAATATTAGACTTTGTAGGATATAATAGTCACGTCTTACCAGAAGAAAGGGCAGTATCCGTGCCCCTGTAATCCAATCCCCGCCCCCGCTTAACCTCTGCCTTAACCGTGCATCAAAAAATTAAAATTTTCAAATTGAATTTCTCCTGTAAAATACTGGAAGCAAACGACTTCAATGCCGCCTACTCAAACAGCGTGTACCCGAGGTTCAAAGAGCCCACACTCATCAAAAAGCGCCTTTGTTATAAATTTATCACAATTTTTTTTTTGGCCGGATATAAACATAATTTCCTGTTTTATTATCTTCCGGCTGTAAAAGAATTAACAAAATCCATGCTAATTCCGATCATTAAATTCGCTTGGCGGAGTTTGCCCTAGCGAGTCTCTTGAAAAAATCTCATTTGCATGAATAGAAGGAGTGCTCGGGTCTGGATCGGACTCGATTATTCTTATGATTCGTTTTATGTTTCAGACAAATGCCCTGAAAGTTGTATTCCAGGGATTGTTTCGATTTTATGACTTAAATTTCGAGATAAGAAGATGCATTTTTCAGACTTATCATCTCCGAAACAAATCGGTTATCAATACCCCCGCGTTTTGCCATGTTTTGCTCTTTTTTTCTCCCAATTTGTGGCGTTAGCCTGGCCTCTATAGCAAAACCTTAATGTGAAAGAACACAAAATTAAGCTATTCTCCAAACGACCTGAAAATGAAGTAAGAAAATACGCAGGTCCGAGATAAAAAACGAAACCAAAAAGAAACAAAAATTCGCATTGAGATTCATGAATCAATAATTCATTTCTTTTGTTTACTTCCCCTCAGTCTCGAAGCCAAGAATGAATTTAGATAATTTGAAACAGATTTAGGGCCTGTTTACATGGAGTAGGGGACCCCGGTCTAGTGGGGTTGGTTTCTTTTGTTTTCACGCTCTAGGGGACACAAAACAAAAGAAACCTACCCCACTAGACCGGGGTCCCCCAGTCCATGTAAACAGGGTCTTACTGGCCTCTTTGAACCCTAATTTACATTTGAGAAGAATATTAACAAACAATATGATTGGAACGATCCTTTGCCCTTTGAGATAAGAGTATGATTCAAGTACACTGACGAGTTACATACCTTAAGTCAAGAAGCTTCAATGGGAAATTCTCTAGGAATAAGAATGCACCTAGCTCATAATATCACAAAACGAGTTCATATCTTAAAGCTCTTTGTTCAGACATACCTACAGTAAGTTTACGATGGCGAGGGATGTTGTGGGTGATAAATTTTTCTCAATGTTTTATACAGAATCCAATGGGATTTGTCTTGACTGTTTGACTGTTAAGCACTTGTGATGGGTTGACCTCCTTTGTTTTGCAGCAAAACATTATATATTATATACCCCCATGACTTCCGCCACCACCCGAAAACTACTGGACATAAAATACATTTTCATCCCTTGAAAACAAAGCCGGACAAAAGGAGCCTGGCTTTTGGATGTTTACAATTATAAAAGGTTGACGGCATTTTGCGCTGAAGGGAAACGTCAATTTTAATGGAGAATTTTTTAAGAGGTGTTTTGGAGAAATGTTACCGACACGTCTCATTGAGCCCATTGTATTTCTTGGAAAACGAAACGGAAGGAATTGGCCCGGGAATTGGGCGTATTTCTTCATCTCATTTTCAAAGTGGAACGATTCTAATTTAGGTAGAGAGGTTGGTGACAGATGAGGTTTGTCAGCTTTAAAAATACTATTCTCACAATTTTATTGACATGATCGTGAAGTCAGCTCTTAATTCCAGTATCATGACCTTTGTTCCTTTGCTTTTGGTGTTGTTTGATTTTGTTTTATCAGCCGTGAGTGTATGTGTACGAAAAACTACATTGAAGTTGAGGAAAGCAAGAGGGTTTTGAAAACCTCAATTACTTATTTTCAATTAACGCACTCGACACCGATTGACGCAATATTTCCCATGGCCGGAGAAGCGTGTGATGATTCATAGCCCGCGCCAGAGCAACCGTTGCTTCAGAGCACGTCCAGCCAGTGCGCGAGTATCATTTCATCCGGGACACGTACATTACGTCATTTGCAAAGTTTAGCAGAAGAGCGGGGCAAACAAAACCATTCGGCACGCTGTGACTAGCTATATGTACCATTTGATCGGCTTGAAGATAGCTTATTGTGCTTATACTTTTTTCTTTCGGATAGGTTTCAAGGACAAAGAAAAGTGTCTTTGTTCCCTCGTTCTTTACAACATCAGGTGACTCTTACAACAATGACGTTCTCGTGTTACTTCCCTATGTGCCCTTAAATGGCTCTTTTGCGTCATGCAATGTTTGTTCAACAATCGTTGCTATGTGCGGCTCAATTTCAAATTACAGCGATTGACAAATCCAAAGCACCCCATTTCTCGCAAAATAGCGTTTGTTCGTCAGAATACGCGGAGAGATAGGCTTCTTTGCCGTTCAGTACAAAGCTGGCTTTGCAAAACATCAGAATCCATTGAAAATTGTCTCTTTGCAGACCGGAAGTTTCACGGTTGATTGATCAATTTGCGGTTAATTTGAGCACAATGCACGGAATTTTCTTACAGATATAAAGACCACGTCTCGTGAAAACTTCCTGTGATCATCATTCGAATTGTTAGCAAGGACTCGCACTACACCGATCCTGTGGAAAACATTCAAGTGCGCCATTGTAACATTGTCTTCGCATCGGTGGATCGACTTCTGCAACGTAACTTAGCAATCTTCAAACTCACACGCCGATATCAAAGTGCTGCGGCTTTCGTGATAGCAGAGAGTTTTTATTTCGGCCATCGAAAGCTCATTCTATATTTATTCTGATTTTGTTCGGTCACCAAACCCCCACGCCTTCGCTGTTGCACTTCAACTCAAGCATGAACAGTTTGGAAATGACCGACCCGTACGAGGAGCACATGCTTAATGTAAACGGGAAACCGATCACATTGGACGATATTTTGGAAGAGACAAGTCTGTACATCAACTCCAGCCTCTTTCCTGTGCCTGCGGATCCAGGTACGATACCATAACGTAGAATTAATTTTGGTTTGATAAATACAGCGACATATGACTAGCAACTTTATATTAAACATGGTCGTTTTCTCTGGGATCGCTGTCACCCCAGTGGTAGTGCCCGCCTTCCTAGTAAAATAATTCACACCTGTAACTTACTACCAATGGGGCCTGTGAGGAAAACGGTGAAATTCTTACAGAGATTTTGTTTCATCCTTTTTCTCTGAGCTCCTTTTATTGCTTAATTTTAAAATTTAAGTTCTCATAGTTCACTTCTGCCTTGTCTGATGCGAGGTTCCTTGCAGCTGCCATGTCAGATTTGACATTACAGCCACTCTAATCTTAATAATATTCTTGCAATAATTTATCCTCTGTACTCTACTTTAATATAAATCAGTGTTTTATCTTGGCATTCCATTTTCTTTCATTAGCGGTTTTTTTAATTATCATTTTAGTTAACTCCGTGTTAGGGGAAATCGATAGTCAATGACATAGCTTGTTTCACAGTGGTATTTTCACTAAATTTCCTCTTAGTCAGCTTTCGAGTGCGTCTGAGTTGTGTTAGTGGTTCAGTAAATTTCAATCTGTCAGACGCATGGCTTGTTAATAATGTGTTCCGATTCCTTTCAATGCCTTCAAACAATTCGGATGACAGAAGATTATTCTGTTTATTTTGTTGACCGTGGCCTGTCAGTTTCGTTGTCCATTTCGCTGCAAGCTAAGCTCACTCTAAAGTCTATTTCGTTACGGTCGGACTTTTATTATAAAAAATTCATTCTGCGCAATAACCAAGATTGGCTGTCTGCAGTTTATACATGACTTATTACTGTAAATTAACTCACGCTTATTATCGAGTTGAAAAAATTCTTTGTTATGTTTATTGTTGTGAGGAAATCATGCAATTTAACACACGTTCGAACGCTCCACCACCTTCATTATACCTATAAATAAATATTTCTCTCATGGTAGGCCGTAATCTAACTTCAATCCACAAAAAATCATTCAATATTGCAAATTTACCTGGAGATGAAATTCGACGTTAATTTCCGGCTCGGTTCTAACATGCACATTAAAACCTATAGCATCATTACTTTAACATCATGACATCATGACTTGGCAAAGTTATAGCCCATCGATCATCACGCCGAGATATTCGATCTGTTACAATTCTTTTACTTGTGATAGCTTGTAAACTTACATTTTATTTTGCTTGTGAGAAAAATATTCTTTTAAGACTTTTTTCACCACTCGCGATATGCAAAACGTATTTTTAAAAAAACATTTTGATCGCGCAAGTATATAAAGTCGCCAAAAATCGGCAAAATCAGAGTTCTTAAAGAAATAAATAATGAAAAAAGACATCGCAGATAAAATTTCGTAGGACAAAAGGAAAATATTTTTTCGCTTATTTGATTTTGCAAAAAGCGCAAGTCACATATCCTTTCCATTCCAGTGAAACCAACCCCCTCCCCCAAGAGAAAGGGCGTTCTGGATATTGCCCGATCCTCGGAATGTCACGAACGCAGAACTAGTTTTACAAGTTTACAGGTTAAAGACTACTTTTTGCTGCGCGGTCGTGTTTTCTAGAGTGAGTCACATCATCATTATACGGCTTTATCTGGTGGTGTTGTGCAATACCAGAAGTCACAAATTTATGCTGAACACGTCTGCCCTTTAACAATGTAGTGTCCAAATAGCCATGATTATCTTTGTTTTATAAAACGCCGCGACTTTTTCTGCACCGATGTAAGGTCAAAACTTTTGACTTCTTTGAAACTAAAAATTATGTGATGCTTTGGGGCCTAGTTAAGTTAAAAGAAGTTTCCGGATGAATACAGACGTTCATATATTCACGAGTATCATAACTGTTGTCCGTCTCTTTCCCTCAAATTGGATGGTTTGTTATGTCCTGGGATATATTTTAAGCTGTGCAATGAAAGTGGAAAACAAAAAGTAAAGAAGTTAAGTCGTTGGCAAAATAGGGTTATTGGCTCATTGCGCAACTTGCGATGTCTGACATTGTGCGAAGGGTTAACTTTCTTTCGTGCTGCCTTTGCTGTAAAAACTCTAAATCATATCATGCCACTAATTTGGCTTGCGTTTCTTTAGAATATTTCAACGTACGGTACATGTGCGTCATAATAGATACAAATAGATTTTTACTTTATGTATATTGTTTGGCCAAGGCCAAATATCTGTAACATCAACAGTATTGTTCATTGTTCTCTTAACAGTGTTGTATGACTTACATTTTTTGCGCTATTTGCAATATTGTATAAACCCTTGTCTTTCCCAGACAGTGTTTTTTGTAGTTATTTAGTTCATACAAACTTATACTTCTCAGATGTACACAGTTGTCTTTACACAGACGATTAATTCTACATACTAAATGACAAAGGAACCGTGAGTTGTTTTTAAAAGCATAACACAGTACGTGTACTGTATTAGAGTTAAGTAGTGAATCTTGTTTGACGAAACACGTAGGTTGATGAAAATGAGTTCGCAGACGTCTTTTCCGATGTTTATTTAACTATTAGCAAAGTTTCGAAAGGTCTCATTTGCGCGAACTAACAAATGTAACGGGATTTTTGTGGAGGTTAAACTCATCAGCAGCAATTTTTTACGCCGTTTGAGGAACTTTTGTCATTTTTAAAGGTACTGGAAGAGGTGCCTTTGACTTTTTACAAATCATGGACATTTGGGTTGAAAGCAACCTTTTCGTGCTTTTTGCCCGGAGTTGCAGAACTGACCAAATAATTCGACCATTAATATTGGGAAATGAATGTAAAAAATTCGTATTACTCGTAAGCAACGCCCGAATGCATGCGATTTTTTTTAAATCTGTTTTTCACAAATCGGCAGCCAGGTGAATCGTGGCACAAGCGCCGGATGACGTCATAAATTCTAATGGAGACCTAGCATTTGGCAAGCAGATGACTCTTTCAGTTCACTAAAAGATAATATTTTTCCATCAAACGTCAGCAAATGCTATTTGGTACATACGATCGAGATATATACTATAGGTCCATTATAATAAATAATTTGATTATACATTGTACTTGTTGTTTGTCTTCTCGTTGGCTAAGAGCCTACGGTTGATTTTGGAAATCAGCAGATAACTGACTTATCTTTAGGGTTTGCGCGCGCAATGCATGATTTCCGAGAACAACAGAGAGAATAGAGAGTTTTTACATAGCTTCACGTACACGGCAAACGTCAGATTCAAGTTGAGAATTTCTCAAAATAGAAAAATGAGCGTATAAAACAGGTCAAAACAATTCTTATGAATAAAAAGACTGCGTGAAACTACTAATTTATGTGTAGAAGTAATGAAACGAAAACGACAAGTAAAGAGGAAACTTGGTCATGTGCTACAAATTCGCGTTTGCCGTTTGACGTAAACGTGGTGCTTAACCTTTCTATTAACAGTCACGTTTACGCTAGCCTGCGTGGCATGGCGGTTTTGCCGAGAGCACGACTGAGCGGCGAATCCTCAAAAACGCGCGCAAAGCGCGCGTGAACGAAAAGCGAAGCCGCTAGAAAAATGAAAACTTTTCAAGTTGCTCCCGCACCAATCTCATCGCGGTTTCTCTGCCCTCGCCCGCCTTTATTATTCAGCGCGCTCAACCGAAACCGCCATGCTACGCAGACTACGTTTACGCCAAAGGGCAAACGTGAATTTGTGCCACTTTACCAAGTTTTCCCCTTAATTGTCGTTTACTGTTTAAGATACCGCTCTCTCAGTCTATACCACGCTCCGACGTATCTCGGTCTTCTTTTCGTTCTAGCTTGCAGGAAGTCTCTATTTTCCCTCAGAGATATTAAACTAGGGAGGCACGCGTGTGATTCGAGCATGCGACGGGTAACAAAAGGACACTCTGCGGCTTTCGACTAGTTATCCATTTGATACTACAGTCAGTGACTCTCTCTAAGATGGACACATGAAATCGGCGTCATTTGCCTATTTAAGAGAGATGTCCGTCTTACAGAGAGTCAACTGAAAGGGTTAAGAAAGGCAAGGTCCAACTCTAAGTGTCCGTCATATAAAAGTCAGCTAAGAGGGGTAAATAAAGAATGGCGGGCATCAACATTAGGTGTCCGTTTAGTAGCCTGGAAGGGACCATGCTCTGCTGTGGGGAAAAAATGGCAAAAAAAGGAGTGAAACGGCATAAAAAATCCTCCCCAGACTACCGCGCGGTTCGCTTCGCTCGCCAGTTTTTCGCTGTTTTCCCCAACTGCGGAGCCTGGACCGTGGCGACCGTTTTATTGAGTTGACCGTTAAAGGAGAGTATACTGCCTTACTATTGCTGGGAAAGGAAAGTAATGAATGGCTGACACTTCGTGTCTCTCAGACTGTTAAGTTTTCGGGTTTTATGCTAGTAGAGGGTGTCAAATACTATCTTAAATGAAAGAGTCATCGGTTTTTTTTTTCACAGTATTTCCTTCATTGGATCTCTGCTATACGGAGGATACAAAAGCAAATGTGACTGTTTTGGATTTGAAAGATGTCTACGACAAAGGGCAAAGTCGGCGGAAGGCAAACTCAGAACAGAGATTATTGAAGGCTGACGTTCGTCTTAAAGCAACGGCACAAAAACAAATTCAGGTATTTATCGTGAATAATGGAAAACAACCTTTATTTACAGTTTGTAGTAATGATAGCATAAAGGATAGTGGAGTCGAGAAAATCGCTGATATACCATGGTCAAGAATCCCGGCTTGTGAGAGGCAAACCAGTTGGCCATTTTAAGTGCGACCGAGCCATAGAACTCGGGACTACTGAGGACAAATCCAGTCATGGCGGTACTTGAACTCGGGGCAACCGAACTGCTACTCCCGCGATCTGACGTATATAAGTTAGGAGTTCGTATTGGGCGCAATAGAAATATGGCGCGCGAGATAGAAGTTGTGCGTGGGAGAGGAGGATAAACGCGAGTACAGAGTGCGAAGTCTGCGCGCGTTATCCTAGTCGTGGGCATCGCTCTTTTTTTGCGCGGCGGAATCATATTAAACGTTACAAACATCAAATGGACCTTTTGAAAACTGTTCGGCTAATGAACAATTTTGTTCAAAAACCACAATTGCAATCTCCTTTAACCCTTTTCAAGTTTGCCCATCCGTGCCTTCTTTTGTAATCCTTGCGTTTTATATTTTGTCTTTCATTCAATTTGCTTTTGCAGTTCCCACCGTTTGAAATTTGCTAAACTTTGCGACAGAGCCCCTTTAACAAGTGATTTCTGGAGACAATTGCATTTAATTTGGGAATACGTGCGCTTATCTTCTGTTTTGTTTTCGTTCAGGGAGTGTCCGCTTACGTGGAGAGATGTCCAGAAGCAGCCAGGATTCTTCAAGATTTAAACGGTCGCGTCCCATTGGAAGTGGAGTACAGCAAAAAAGAACCTTTTTTCGTGAACTTTTCCGTTAATCTTGATTCAGTGTACATTACTCATAAGGGAATAAAAGTGTACGAACTTTCGCGCGTCAAGGGAGAAGAAAGAAACATTTTCCGGTTGATCGTTGTGTTGCATTTTCTGGATGGATCAACAAAGGAGTTTATAAGCAAGCATTTCCAAGTTCAAAGCAAAAAGCACCCAAAACAAATTCTAGGTTAGTACAAGTAAATAAATGGTTTTGTCTTTGAAATATGCTCGTTTACAGACCAAGATACTGGATACTGGGATGTGGGGAGAGTAAAAAAATGTTTTTTACGAGGCAGTTTTTACTAAAATATGCCTGATTTGTTACCATTTGTTTTACGTGTCAGATCCTTTGCCAAATCTTTCAGCTGGGCGAGTTCTTCTAACATGCGGTCAGTTCATACCCTGGGTCTTTTGTCACACATACCTCGTTCCCAGGGCTCTCTCCAACCGGTTTCAGGACGGGTAGGACAGAACCTTGGGAAAGACGTTGCTAGTTGAGTCGTTTTCGCGCCCTGCAGGCGTTAGATACAGTAAAACCCCGCGTATAAGAACCTGGGTTTTAAGAATCTGTTAGTCTAAAATTTTCATTTTAAGCCCCCTCCACATAAGAACCTATTAACCCATATTTTTTAAGTTAGGTTCTCATTAGTGAAGTTGCTGCAAAAGTGTATCAACTTTGAAATGGCATTTCAGAGAACTGACAATGAGTTTGTTTGTTATGTTTTGTTAAGGACATACCTGCACTGCACTGCCTTAAGGCATTATGATATAAACGATTTATATTGTATTATGAGATGATATTTATAATATACATAAATGAAATTAATATGAAAATATAAGAACCTATTTTAAGAACCTTGGTAGTCTAAATTTGCTTTAAGTACCATTTATATAAGAACCTGTTGAGGCTAAATTAAAAAATCCAGGTTCTTATACGCTGGGTTTTACTGTAGTAAAAATGGTATTGATGAAAGCCTTTCGCCGGAATTTGTTTGTTTCTTTTTCTGGCGCTAATCTATAAAAAGCAATGAAAACACATTCTTTCTCTTGTTTAGATGAAGATTCGTCAAGTGATAATGGCTATTATGGTACCCCTAGTCCAGAAAATAAGAGGAAAAGACCAAAACGTAAGTCAACGGAACTTCTCTTGTTTTATATTATCAGGGGGGAGATCCAGACCTTGAGATAAGTCAGGGGGTGGGTAATGGGCCCTCTCAAAACGACAGCAAATCTCCCTCATATATAACGTAGTTCTGAGAAATACCTTTGCCGCATTCCTCTAACTGCGCTTTTCAAAAACACGCGAACTCTAAAGTTCAAAAGCAGCCTTCATAAATGCGTTTTTTGCTTCCGTCAATCATAATTACCATCATGATCACAAGCAACGAACCTTGAAACAGAGAAACACACTAAACGGATCGAAATTCGCCAATCACAAATCACAAACCGTAACCTTTTGAACCCGTCAAAGTAAAATTCTGTTTCCTAAGAGGTCCGCTGAGATGATTGACAGCAGCGAAAAAAGCAAAACGGCAGCTGGCTTTTTCAACTTTAGAATTCACGTGTTTTTGAAAAGCGCTGTTACGAAGGCATCAACTCGAGGCTTGGCTGAACAAAATATAGTGATTTGTATGAAATTGCTTTCCGTGCCTCGACCTCATTTTTCATCTTGGCTCACTGGGATGGAATGCGTGAAATGTCTACATGTATTCTTGACGAAATCAGCTTTGACCCTTTAAGCCCCAATATCAACATACAAATTCTCCAAACTGGTCTCTATAGATTTCCTCAAAGAATAAGTTGAGAGAATTTGATAATAGATCAAGGTGTTTTCTCTTTGGTGATCATTTATCAATTCTCATAACCTTATCTCTTGACTATTTATGGATATTGTTTGGAGAAAATTGATGTTGATCACTATTGGGACTTGAAGGGTTAAAATGTTTAAGCTAGGTGCCACTCAGTCCTCGTATCTTGCAATGACTCGGTAATTTACTTCGCATAATTATTGAACGTGCGACCATGCCTTAAAGAGCATTAAGTTTGCCAATCGTTAGGCCAATGCGGTGGGAAAAGGGTGGAAGATTCTGCTTATCTAATACCGTTCCTTGTTTACTTCTAGTTGAAGAGGCCAGTCCACTTGGCAGTGTAGGCAGTGATCTGAATAGCGACAGCAGTAAGTTCATTCATTTACATATATGGTAGTAAATTTATTCACTTGCAATGTACGTTATATTGCAACTGAACACAAATGTTGAAATCTTTGCCAAATGATGTGTAAATGGATAAGTTAGCTTTAAGTTTATTTCACTCTCCAGTGATTGGAAACCTCCATTAACGGCTCGTTGATGTTTTTTGGGACTTTGGGTCACAGACCTTAGTTAAGACATCCACTTGTACTCAAGCAGCCCTATAGACCGCGATCATGTTCTCTATTTTTTCCCGCAGGGTGGCGCGCGTGACAATCGAGAGCGATAGAGTCTCGCGCCGTCTCGCGCCTTCTGTCACACCCGATGGAAGGATTAGCTTGTTAAAAGTGGTAACAGCGTGGATTTGCCTTAGGTGTACCTCTCAGCGAGAAACAGTTGCCCCTGTTTAGCTCCTAGCATGTGGGCTCCTTGTGAATAACTTTATTAACTTGAAACCATGAACTTAAAGCACGTTTATGCAGTAACGATTGTTAACAGTGACTTTGCTTTTCTTTAGGCGTTGTAGCCTCCGAAGTTGTCACGGACCGCCTTGAAGCTAAGTCGGCCGTCATAAATGAACTGCAAGTTAACAAGCCAATCTTAACTCCCAGAGGGGACATCGCTTATCATTTTAAACTGGAGAAATCCAGCCATGAACTTCCTTTAGAAGAGGGCGACGTCGTTGGATTTTTTGGAGAACCGCATGGAAAGAGTCACATTGAGAAACTAACACATTTTAATGCGTCAAAAGCAAAGATGGCGGGTGTCATTAGTAGATCAGCCTACCTTGAAGCCAAAACGCCAGCTGAGGACGAAGGAAAAGGTAAAAAAACGGTACTTCGTAGAAAACTGTGTCTTGGGGCAAAACTAAGTTTCAATTTGTTTTAGCAAATGCGTGCTTGCAGCAAAACCTAGCAGCTCATTCGAGCGTTCTCTCGCTGCTTGCCTCGATCGCTAGAAATGGAAAGCGCGTCCTACACTGATTTAAAAAGTTTCTGTATCTTCTGATTTTCAGATCTCAGCGACCTTGTCTGTATAATTGGAATGGTGAATGTCAAAGTTCTTGGCTCGGTCGAAAACGGCGAGCGGTTGTATTCCTCTCTGGAGCACCCGGGAGTGGCTATACCCCAAAGCCGCCTTTGTGATGCTGTGTCTAAAGACGCCTTTCTCCTCGGCCAAACGCTTGAAGGATCGGACGCTAATACGAGCAACATTCATTTGGTTCAGTCTTTTGTTTCGGCCTTGTTAAGCATTACTAACGGACACTTGGCGGACGCTTTCGATGACGTTCGAAAACACGTGAAAGAGGATGTTAAAACTGAGGTCAAGGCAGTCAAAAAGAAGTGTTTGAGAGGTAACTTAGTGGCAACCGTTACTTTTTTAAAAACAGTTGTAGAAAAAACTCACCTCATTTGAACGTCGATGTATCAAGTACGAAAAAAATAATCGAGTACACTGGAGATGGGACCGCCCTCTCTACGTGGTTGAGCCGTTTTGCTGGCAAAGTCAGTGCCTTCATTTCCCAGTTATGTACCTCTGACGTAAACTGTCATATAACTGGCTTTAGACACAGACAATAGTACTTAGATTTCCCTTTAGTTAGCAGCTTAATTGCCAATCGAATTAGATCAGTATGATCTAAGATCTCAAGAGTTCGAACTAACGATGCACACAAATGAATCATAGCATGCTAACAAGAACCGCAGGAAAGGGCTGTTCTGTAGCTTTCACTTGAACGCCTGATCTGTTAACAGTTAAGATATAGGCATGACCCTTTCGCTGTTTGATGGCATACACTCAGAATGATTGTATACAGCACTTGGCTAAACCAATAGGAACTCGCGTCTCTTTTTGGTTTAGACAAGTGGTAGTCTTTCTAATTTGACCTATTCTTGACGTCTTTAGGTTTTCGTCGCTGGTTGCTTGCAGGCTTCATCCTAGCCGTTCTATTAGGAGTTTTGCTGTACCAGTTATTTGCACCCGGCACCGCCCTTCGTTATTACAGATGTCAACTAGGCAGTATTAAAAACAGTGAAATGTGGTTTACGTTCACGACAGTTGATAAGCAGGTACTTTGCTTTTTTTCTTGCACCCCTTGGTTCTCTTTGTCGCTTTTTTGCACATACAGGTGCGTTAGGGAGAGATCAAGATGGTGGGATATCGGGCTCCTTCGCTCATTTTTTGTTTTTATTTGTATGGACTGAGGAGTACCGGATCCAGACCTTGTGGTCATCCAGATCCTTAGATAACGGGGAGCCCGGTCTCCAAAAAAGTCTTTTTTCGGGCCTCAGTTTGGTTGAGGGGTTCCGCCCCCCCCCCCGGCCCGGCCCCCTCTCCTGGATCCGCCACTGCTGAGTTTAAGCTAAGGTCCAAGAACACGTGAAGTAAGACCGAGGCTAATACCCATCCACCTTCACTGAGGTCCCGTTCATATGGAGATAAGTTGTCCCAGGAAAGAGCATCACTCTCCCAGCCGAGTTAACCTTAGTCTAGCGTACGTATGAGAAAAAAGTTGACTCCTTTGCCCGAGCCAAAAGGTGACATCAGCCCTTGTGCATGTTCTAATTGTCTCGGAAAATAGTGACCAGGCTAGGCGAGTCACTCATCTAGCCGAGCCACTTTTTTGTTGCGCATAAGGGTTCACAAAATTTTGTAAGGAAATGTTAAAAAAGTTAGCTCGCCTGGGGTTACTCGGGTAGGCGAGTATCCTTCGACCCGGAACAACGTTTCTTCATATAAAAGGGGCCTGAACAACTCTGGTAAATAAAGAATTAAGAGCGATTTTCGTATGACCTTGAAAAATGGTTTCGGTAAGTGTTCGTTATTTGTTTAATAGCCAATGGACGAAAAGATCAAAACATGGCCTGTTCGTTTTCCCGCCATAGAAAACCCTAATATGGAGAAGGCATTGTTCGATTAGCCAATCGTGTTGCAGTATGACGTCAAAGCGAAGTATCGATTGATTTCTAGAAAGTTCTCGGGCATGAAGTTTTTTCACCCGAGCGTTCGCTTAACCAACCAAAAGCCACGCGCGTTTGTATCTGTTCGATAAACAAATCAAATCGCTCTATTTTCCGGTTCGTTTGTTTATTCTGTTTTGTTTGCGCGTTTTCATTTCAAGGTCATACGAAAATCACTCTAAACAATTTATTACATGACTGAAAGAAAGTGTTTTCTTGCGGGAACAAGGTGGATATTCCCGAGCGCGAAAATAGTCCCATCAAAATCCTACATTCACCCCTGATACCTATTGCAGATATGGCCTGTTGTACTTTTTAGTACATAAATGTTTTACTTGTCGTAATTTCTAACCTAATTTTATTTGTGTCTTAAACCAGATTCCTCGAGTTCACGGCGTTGAGTTTACTTTCGATAAATTGAGGAGCAAAATGGACTTGAAGTTTGGCAAAATAAATCAAACAGGTAGGGAAATGAATCTTGAATGGTGAACATCGGGGAGTCTTTTGTTTTGTTTTTGTTTGTTTGTTTGTTTTCAAGTTTTGATATAGAGTATTAAGCGCATATCCATTGACACTGCTGGAAAATGGGCCTTGAAATAAGGTGCCTTAAACTTCCTCTTACAAGCTCCCCCCCCAGTTATAGGCTCATATAGGTTCCTTCTGTAGTTAACGAGGCACAGATTACGTACAACAAAAGAAACATTACAAACAGACAATAAAGCCCCCAGGAGAACTCTACTGTTTGCTTTCTTTGTTTCTTTTGTGATGACAGTACCTGCAGAAAGCCCAGGGCTTGAAAGCGAAAGTTTACAGTAACTTACCAAGTTTAAAGATGATACCTTCAACGAGAGCGAAGACATTGCCTTACAAAGTCTCGAAATTTTGCAGACGTTTGTATGGTAGTGGCAAGGCACGAAGTCCCCATACAAACGTACGTACAATTCCGCCACATTGTACAGCTATATCTTCGGTAGTTTTCAACAAATCACTTTCACGTTTGGCAACTTAACTGACTTATAGCACTTATAGCGCCGGATTGTTTGAAAGTGAAGGAGGAATATCATGACTCGGACTCAAAGCGCAGTCATTTGCGCTGAGAAAGACGAAGATCAAAAAGAAATACTCGTAATAACACCGCTGACTTGTTGATTTTTACCCAATTTTTTATTCTTCATTTCAGACGCCCGCTATTACCTTAATCTCGACCGATGCGCTTACGGCGGAATTCGACTTGTAGGATCGCCGTTGGATGGCAAAGAAATGGTCCGTGGAGCCGAAATAGTGGCAGTAAATCACAACTGTTCAACTGTTTATTATCACGCTGAATACTGGACACCTTATGTGAGCGCAAGGGACATTGTTTGCACGAAGCATCCCTGAGAAAAGAGTGAGAAAGACCTCTGTTTCTTTGCGCTTACGGGAAACACGCGATCTCTTTTATAAGAAGACTCCCCAAGACGACAATTCAACGTTGAACGTTGGAGACGCCAGGTTATTTCCACGCGGTGACGTTTTTTAATGCACACGCAACGTTTTCAGTGTTTTTTTTTCCGCTGACATTAAGAGACAGTGCACATCAAAGCAGAAACCAAGAATGCATTTTATAAAACTCAGTGCATAGCTTTTTACGTTTGGTTGTCGTGGTAAACGTTTGTTTAAGTAACGTTCACGTCAAATGACTTGGTCAAGATTTCTTGTATATAGAGAATGATTCACGATGTGGTTAAGTTTGTATTGATGCGTTGCAATAACGACGCTGTATCTTGTCCAAATAGCTTTGTTTTACCACGATTTTTTCTTCAGCACCACCCTTTTAGTGAAGTGCGCGAAAAAAAGATTGTCCACCGTGATTAAAACATTTAGTGATTCCCAATAAATTACCGGTTGGGCCCTGTTACAGTTAATGCTCATTTCTAAAGATGTTTGCTACAGCCCTTGACTCCCTTGCGTGAGTCAATTCTGTACGTATCATCTTCGACTGTTTTATAGGTACCACACAAATTAATTTTTTTTGGATAATCGTATAATAATTGACAACTGCGCTCATGCACATCCAGGTAAATAGTAGGTTGCTGTAGTTCTCCCGGAATACATAATTATTTTACCATTAGCAGGTTATGAGGAGAAATTTATGTGACTTTGGAAGGTAAGGAAATGAGATGGTTATTAATATTTATAGTGATGTTACAATGTATTATTTTAGAAGATTAGGAATTTTTCGTACTTATTCAATACGAAACTTACAATACCCAATCGATGATTATATTTCAAAGGGGGTCTATATACTAAAAGTTCATGCCTTTATAGACATTCGAGGAGATCTGCTCCAAAAAGTACTTACTGATGACTGATCCATTTTCACAGACCCTTTTTGTTGTGTAACCCTGATACCTGATATGTCACTTTTGCGCATGCTCAGAGAACGCCTCGAAGGCTGGTCCTTCGTTTTAAATTAAATTTTGTTGTATTAGTTATGGAATTTGTAATTGCTTTTTTGTTTAAGTTCAAGTGTACAAAAACTTTAAGATTATTTAACTGAATACATTATTGCAGTGTAGAATAAAAGCCGCGCGCTTTTTGAATGGCTTATACAAGCGCAGGGACGATAGAACATAGGAAAAGGGGACATTTCCATGCAGTTATTACTATAAATTATGGGAAGAAAGCGAGCTGGGAGTATTTTTTTTCTTTTCATTTTATTGAGAAGTTGTTTGTAATCTATTAAAAAATGTTGCAAGTGATTGTAATGAATTAGAAAGAAGGTAAAATTATGTAAAATTTATTATGTAAAAATTTGGTAACTGAATTCTCAGTCTAGTTTAAAAAGTATACAACAGAACATTATAAAGAAACCGACACCAAGTATAAACTGTTATTAAACAGTACTTTGTCAATTGCCGTGAAAATACTCAACAAATGTTCATAACACTCGACTGTGGTTCGTGATTTTGAATATATTTTGTGATAGCTTTGTAACTGATATTGACGAATGTACCAAAATAAATTGATTTATATAAATTGGTGGTGCCCGTGAGTGATAGTTTTTCTTTCTCGAAAATCTTTTTTCCAGGGCATCTCTTCTTCCCTTCAGTGAGACCATTCAGAGAGAAACTGGGAACCAGGTTAAGATCTCGACTGATAAGTAAGAGGAGTTTAAGCTTACGGTAAACGACAAACGGCAGAAATTATCTGAACTAACTTTACCCCAGTTTGAGAGCTCATGTACTTGTCGAACATAAAAAAGTGAAAGGTAAAGAGTCCTTACTTTACGTCGGTAGTTCGAAATAGTCACCAGGCGAACAAGCTTGACGCCGACAGTGCGTTCATTTTCCCAACCCTTCCCCCCCACCTCCCCCCGACCGTATAGTTGGTACAGTTACGCCACACAAATTTGACAAAACGTTTGTTAAATAGCAATTTTTTTATTGTACAACAAAGGTACACATACTAAATATGGGAACATGCCTTCAATCGGGACATTCATATGTCCCTTATATAAATAAACTACAAAACACTGCAGCGGTAAAAAATGAATTGTTTGAATTGATTCACACCCGTACACGCATCTACCCTCCAAGAAGTGATTGGCATGTAACTTCTCCTTCGAATATCCAATACACTGCCCAACAGATAGGTGATGAGAATAGGCGAATTAGCCGCTCGAGGATGTTATGTTGACATAGCCTGTTCCAGGCTCCGAGATTGTTGGGTCCGCGAAATTGAGAAAATGCGAATACACGTAATTCCTACTATCTGAGAGCCTGGAACAAGCTAATGTTGACATAACCCCAAATTCTCTTATTTAACATTCAATACAGTGTATAGCAGTCAGAAAGGAGAATTACGAATCAGATCTTGGAAGTTTAATTAAGGGTTAAAACTATTGAAACCCCCTACTTTTTAAAAAATACGTTAAAGCCTTCATAAATCCCATAGATACGTCAATGACGGTAGAGGTTCTTTTGGCGATGCTCGACTCGGTCGGATACCGAGAGAGAGCTTGCTGGCAAGCTGGTCGACAAGAGCTGGAAAACAACGCAGTTTTGTGTTTACTTATAAAAACTGCGGTGCTATGTTAGTCTCTTTAAAATTTTTAGGAGACCTAAGAGGTGGCTTCAGCTTGAGCTCCTCCAATAATGACTCTCCTCTGGAAGAGACATGAAGGAGATACTTGGTCTACTCCCCTAAGGGTATGGTTAACATTGTTTCTCGTTTAATCCCATGAGCGAGAACTTTGAATCCCTTTACGGTGGAAGCGACTTAACAAGCTGGTCACTCATCGCAAAATTCAGAATTGTTTCTGAAGCAGAATATAATCACCTTTTCAGGTGTAAATCTGAATTTTAAAAAAATCATACGTCTAACGCTTAGATCTTCTATCTGCTTTAAATTAGTTCACAACCTTTTGTTTCTTACTACGATACCAATTAAGGGTGATCCAGAGGTAGGCTCGATTTCCGCCGTCTCCCGGGTCCGGTCTTTGATCCTCCCCGAAGAGAGACTTTCGGGGGATGAGTGCGGGCTCATTTTCCCGAACAGCGGCTGGTAATCGAGCCTAATCCAGAGGGTGATCGTTGCAAACTCATGACTCGCAGTCACGGAAGGTGGGGGGACCGGGGACCCGGGAGGGCCGGGGATGCTTGTCGGAACGTTAAATTACACCTCCTAAAGGGGAACAATCGGTGTGCGCGGCTCAGACCTGAAAATGACAACATGACAACCAAGTGATTTTAATTGCGCTTAAGATGTTGGCTTCGAATGCTCTCTTAAACACAGATAGTAAGATGGAGTTTATATTTTAGATAGATATGTTTACGGACGATCTTAAGCGATACATGAGTGTATGGATATATATATACCGTTAATATTGTCTCTCCGTCCTGAATACTCTTACTGAGACCAAAATCTGCCATTTTCATCCCTAAGCGACGAGACAAAACGGCATCCCCTCCTCTCTCATACTGCATGTGTTCCCTTCCCCAGAATCGTAATTTGCCTGTGGGGCTTAAACCTCTATCAAGTTACGTTTTATCAAAGAGTACTAGTGTTCTTATGGAATCTTATGGAATTTTCTCCTCATGGAGACATTCCCAATTCCTATCTTATCGTTGCCTTACTTAACACACGCAATAACTTGTTATATAGCACGAAGTTTAACGTTAACCAATGGCTATGGAGCTTTCTCATTTATCTCTCAATAATCGCGTTCCAGATTCTCCTTGGCTACAAACAGAAAATCTGAGGAGGAATTTGGTGTTTCAAGTGGATGGTGGCGGCTCGCATTTGATGTTTCGCGCCGAATTGTACGGCGTCCATTTGTGAATAGCGCACTCCACATAATACACCTCGGTGCAATTCGGATTCACTGCGAACAACTCTGGTCCACGAATTTGCGGATTGTGATCCAAAACAATTTGTTCAAAGTAGGCACAGCGGGCAAGGTTGAGATAATAATGCATTCCTGTAAAGAGAAGTCCGAGTAAGAGAAAAGTCAAATCTTTCGAGAAGTAAACTGTACGACCAAATTAATTAAGGCTGTGTTCAAAGTGTTTTTACATGACGTCACGGCGGCCATATTGGTGTCCCAAAACAATGAAACGGCGGCCATGTTGGTGTCTTAAACCAATCCCTTGGGAGTTGAAGTCTTTTCTTACGCAAACCCTTTCATTTGTTCCCTTAAATTTGCATAGATGCTGGCCACGTGAGTGAAAACGCTCTATACCGGATAACTTTTCGTGCCGACATGAAACGCTATCTGTTATAAAGAGAAAAGGCACAAAACTGGGACAAGTCGTTCACACACATCAAACATCTTGCCGAAGCAATTGGTGAGCTAGATCCCAGTCCCCACTTCTAAATATTTACTAAGTTCTCGGTGGATTCCAGTCCTCGCTCCTAATTCTTCACTCCTGCGCGGAACCTGTGCGATATGTGACCCCCCATTTTCGAGATCGGCGCGGCGGAGTTTCGCTCCGTTATAGAAATCGCGCCGAAATCACCTTTTTAATGTGTGAACAGTATCCCTATCCGGTATATAGTGGAACCCCGCTATAAGGAAGTGCAACGGTACCGAAAAAAATGTTCGTTAGAGTGAAGACCCCGTTATAACGTATTACCTGGTTAACAGTAAAAATATTCGTTATAGCGGGGTAATTTTTATTCATTTGACACTGTAAACTGTCAGTGTGAATCGCTGACAATCAAGACATTAAATTCAAAAACAATTTCAATTAAAAGCAAGCTGTGATTTCGTTCTACTCAAATCTGTCGTTTTTACTGACTACTGCGAGCGACCGGACAAAATATTCGTTACAGCGGGGTAAATTATGCGTTGGGATCAATTCGTTATAGCGGGGTTCGTTTCCACGTGATGTAATTCTGCCAGGCATTCAGATTTGTTATAACGGGGTCTTCGTTATAGAAGGGTTTCACTTTACTTGTCGTGCCGCTGGTGCAAGAGCTATAAGGTATAGTTTTCGTGCCGCCGCCGCAAAAGCTATCCGGTATAGTTGTCGTGCCGCCGGTGCAAGAGCTATCCGATATAGTTGTCGTGCCGCCGGCGCAAAAGCTATCCAGTATAGTTGTCGTACCGCCGACGCAAAAGCCCCATCCGGTATAGTTCTCGTGCCGCCGGCGCAAAACCCCCATCCGGTATAGTTGTCCTACCGCCGGCGCAAAAGATATCCGGTATAGTTCTCGTGCCGCCTGCGCAAGAGCTATCCGGTAACGTCGTCGTGCCTCCGGCGCAAAAGCCATCCGGTATAGTTGTCGTGCCGCCGGCGCAGAAGCTATCCGGTATAGTTGTTGTGCCGCCGGCGCAAAAGCTGTGCGGTATAGTTGTCGTGCCACCTGCGGAAACGCTATCCGGTATAGTTGTCGTGCAGCCGGCGCAAAAGCTATCCGGTATAGTTGTCCTACCGCCAGTGCAAAAGCCCCATCCGGCATAGTTGTCGTGCCACCGGCGCAAAAGCTATCCGGTATAGTTGTCGTACCGTCGGCGCAAAAGCTACCCGGTATAGTTGTCGTGACGGCGGCGCAAAAGCTATCCGGTATAGTTGTCGCGCCGCGTGCGCAAAAGCTATCCGGCATAGTTGTCGTGCCGCCTGGGCAGAAGCTATCCGGTATAGTTGTCGTGCCGCCTGCGCAAAAGCTATCCGGTATGGTTGTCGTGCCGCCTGCGCAAAAGCTATCCGGTATAGCTGTCGTGCCGCCGGCGCATAAGCCCCATCCGGTATAGGTGTCGTGCTGCCGGCGCAAAAGCTATTTGGTATAGTTGTCGTGCCGTCGGCGCAAAAGCTATCCGATATAGCTGTCCTACCGCCTGCGCAAAAGCCCCAGCCGGTATAGTTGTCGTGCCACCGGCGCAAAAGCTATCCGGTATAGCTGTCCTACCGCCTGCGCAAAAGCCCCATCCGGTATAGTTGTCGTGCCGCCGGCGCAAAAGCTATCCGGTATAGCTGTCCTACCGCCTGCGCAAAAGCCCCATCCGGTATAGTTGTCGTGCCGCCGGCGGAAAAGCCCCATCCGGTATAGTTGTCGTGCCGCCGGCGCAAAAGCTATCGGGTATAGTTGTTGTGCCGCCGGCGCCAAAGCTATCCCGTATAGTTGTGGTGCCGTCTGCGAAAAAGCTACCCGGTAAAGTTGTCGTGCCGCCTGCGCAAAAGCTACCCGGTATAGTTGTCGTGCCGCCGGCGCAAAGGTTATCCGGTATAGTTGTCGTGCCGCCTGCGCAAAAGCTACCAAGAATAGTTGTCGTGCCGCCTGCGCAAAAGCTACCCGGTATAGTTGTCGTGCCGCCTGCGCAAAAGCTACCCGGTATAGTTGTCGTGCCGCCGGCGCAAAAGCTATCCGGTATAGTTGTCGTGCCGCCGGCGCAAAAGCTATCGGGTATAGTTGTCGTGCCGCCGGCGCCAAAGCTATCCGGTATAGTTGTGGTGCCGTCTGCGAAAAAGCTACGCGGTAAAGTTGTCGTGCCGCCTGCGCAAAAGGTACCCGGTATAGTTGTCGTTCCGCCGGCGCAAAGGCTATCCGGTATAGTTGTCGTGCCGCCTGCGCAAAAGCTACCAAGTATAGTTGTCGTGCCGCCTGCGCAAAGCTACCCGGTATAGTTGTCGTGCCGCCTGCTCAAAAGCTACCCGGTATAGTTGTCGTGCCGCCGGCGCAAAAGCTATCCGGTATAGTTTGAACATAGCCTCACACGAATTTGTGAAATTATGGGATCTGTTGGAATATTCAAAAAGAAGGAGATGAAAAATACCTCCTTGACTAAATTCATGGATTTTTTTTTATTCTTAGATGAATAACAATGTAAATATCTCTCGTCTAATTTCAACGAACTGGATACGAACACGCTGACTTTTGTCAAGAAGGCATTTTATGCCTGGCTTTCTTAGACTGAAGATGTCAGCAAATGCCATAATTTCACTAAGTCTAAGGGAGATACTGGCCAATTAAGGATAGGTACGTGTCACGAAGGTTATTAAACCCGGACACTCATTCTCTTGGGTCCTACTGAATAACTCATATAAATGAAAATTTATATCCTATTTTAACGCCCAGGATGACACAGAATTTAGTTGAATGAACACCTCGAAAACCACACCCTTTTTCTTGGCACACCCTGATGCAGCTTCAATATGGGAGTACCTAAGGGATCTGAGGTTACATGCCGAGAGTCCCTGGCTAAGCATAGACGTTTGTAAAATCTCCTGGGCAGATAGACTCGGTAGTGCCCATTGCAGAGATAAAAACCCTGGATTTTTACTGGCTTGTACATACGTAGAGAGAACATCTGACATGTAGAATTAAGACTGTGTTCCACTTCAGCGAACCTGAATAATTAGTTATGCATGTACCTGATGCATTATACGGCGGGCATAAACCTTGAAGATGAAGCTTCTTCATCAACTTTTCCCACGTGAATTCGAGTCCATGAACTTTAGGGTACTGAATCAAAAAAAGGACAAATTTTTCATCAAGGACAATCGAACTATTACATCGAAGGCAGAGTTGTCCATTTTTAAGGCTGTGTATCAAGGCTAGCACTCCGCGGGTCTACAGTAGCAGGCTAGTGCTGTTTGTGCTGTTGTAGTTCAATAAAGGTATAAGAACTTCCTGTTAGACATAAAGAATCCAAAAGCTCCTGTAAAGAATTAACAACCATTCACTGTGAAAGTAAGCGCTGATACTAGCTTGTGCACAACCGCCTCCTAACCTGTAAAGGTGCTTTATATCAAAGAGTCAGGAGTAAAAACAACCGACGTTTATTCTCCCGCCATGCTTACTACACCGATCTGACGACAAGGTGCTCGCACATCCGGGAATCCTAGTCTACTCAATACAATCCCATATATGGTAACAGCACTATATTTATGGTAACGACACTACATAACCCAAAACAAATGTTTTGTTTGATAAGAGGGGGCGGCTATACATAGGTACCATATGACAGTCTGCTGCAGAGGCTGTCGCAGTCATGAATACAATGGTTTCCTTGATATATCACACATGCAGTAAGTATGTTTGATCAGTAACAGCACCATATACAGTTGAACCTCTCGTAAGCAACCACCCAAAACGGTAGCTTACGGGAAGAGACTGCTTACGATCCCATGGGCTATTGACTCAGAGCCCATGTTTGGTGTTTTGGATAAGTGGTCGCTTATGCATTTATGGGAGGTAGTCGTTTACGAGAAGTGATTTCACATGGAGATTCGACTGCAGTATGTTACCAGCTTGCACTTACCTGGTGATCATGGGAAACGAATTCAAAGTAAGCTGTATGACCTTTGATTCTTCCTTTCTTACACTTCCAATACTGGTAGATAGTGCCAGGAGCACAAAATATGTAGAGGAGAGAAGCTAACACCCCAGCGAAGACAAGAAATAACGCTAACTTCCACGCAACGCCTGACAAATAAATCAATAACACCAATATTTACGAAACAACGCACGCAGCTTTGAAAAGCCAAGAGAGTATAATTAATGCTCTAAGATATGACATGGTATTGGGAGGTATGAATCACCCTGTTCCGTGGCCTTCCGCCTGACCCTCGAGCTTCTTGTGACTTTTACTCGCTGGATTTATCGGGTGTATGGAGATTTGCTCAGTGCACGATGATAATGGTGATGATGATTGTAGTGATGACGATGTTGGTAATGAAGATGATTATGCTGACAATGATGATGATGATAATAATAATAATTATGATGATGTTTATTCAGAACAGCAAGTCCGAACCGGTGATCAGAAAGTTAAAATTAACTACTTAAAATTGAATTTCAAAAAGGCATAAAAATATGAATAATATTAAAAAATGAAAACATAAACATAAACATAAACATATTCTCACAGCTGGGGTAAAATGTGCACGCGTTGAAAAACTGCTGAAGCTCTTTTCTTTGGAGTTTTTTTTCAGAGACGGACCCAGGAATTTTTTATAAAAGGGATCCAAACTTAAGCAGCAAACTAAACCCTCGTTTTGCCACTTTCGTGTTTCTAGTAATCTTTAACACAAGTAAAATTGAAATATTCATATGAACACACACACTTAGTGATTAAAAAGCCGTGTTTTTCAAGTTTAGGCCCTCTGGACCCCTTCCATCTTGATCGGCCTCTGTTTTTTGTTTTGGAAAACTGCAGCAACCGTTTTTACGTCGATAGACTTTAAGGGTATTTGAAGTTAGTTACAGCTTCACAGAAAGGAGAGAAGTTGAGACAAGGATGTGGTGTCAGCGGGCATAAATCTCTTTCATAATGACAGCCTATTAATACATTATTTTATATGTATGATATTTAGCCTTTCTGACCTGGAGAGCATGTGCAAAATACAAAAGAATTTCTTACTTTCAAACGAGGTCAGAAAGACTAATTACTATATTTATGTATGATATATGAAAGAGGTCTATAGGACTCGGGACCTCGCGCACCAAAGGCCGCACTAACCAACTGTGCCATCCTTGCTGCTCGCTTAAGTTTTTTATTCCTTATTAATCACCTTTGAGCCATCTTGACCTGTCCTTAATCATGACTTCCTGAAAAGAACCCTGTATTCTTTCCTGGAGATTGCTGATGGCGTTGGTAATTTGTCCAGACTGAATACCCAGAACTATCGATACAAAGCATCGAACCAAGTGAACGCTATCTAGACGGTAGCTTGTCTGACTCTCCAGCGCTTGCCCAAGAAGCGTTGGTGAACGATCCGCCATCGGACGTAACGGGATCTGCGTCTCTGGTACAGCGACTCCCGGAGTGTCTAATGCTACATAGATGCGCTCCCCATTCTGGACTGTGCCAAGAACCTTCACTTTAACGATTCCGATGACACAAACTGTTTCCGTTCTTCCTGAAATGGTTAAGCCATCGGAAGTAAACTTCTTTTTGTGAAGGTTCGGAAAAACGAGTGCGCGAAAAGTGTGCCTGGATGGACAGGGGCTACAAATTTCAGTTGTCATTCAGGATCGGCTCATAATAAGTGACTTGCTAACTTACTTAATCATTTCTTCTTGAGACCCAAATTTAGGGCATGTTTTCACGGAGGTGGGGGACCTCAGGTAGGTGAGGTAACGTGTGGCGGGTCACCCCACCTACTCATGTAAACGTGATCACATTAAAATGAAAGATTATATGGCCAGGCGGGTTACCCCACCTAAGCGGGTTACTTCACCTACCTGGGGTCCCCCATCTCCATGTAAACAGGCCCTCAGAAAAGCTCAATTCAAAATAATGATTTATTAATATTAATAAATTGTGCCCCTAGGGGGTTTAAAAAGGCGCAATACTCAACCGAAGAAGGTTGAAAAAAAAATTTAAAAGTAATACTTTTCATCGGCAACAGAGAATGATCTCGCTTAGCATCAGTTTGTTGACGATGTAAAGTTCAAACAAGTCAATCACCAATCAGACATTATATTTCAACCGATTTCAAATGTCAAATCCACACAGTTTTAAGGACTTCTTCCATTTGACTCCTCACTGTAGGCATTTACTATTTCTTTGGTTTTTTAGGGTGTTTTACCACTGGTGCGCAATTTTTACGTGCGTACGAGCGTAAAATTTACGGCGTGCTGTAAATAAAATATAAAACACTAAAGAGGCAATTTATGAAAGGTCGCGCGTTAACGTAAAACGACGTTGAATCACGCTCAAATTTTACGTTTACGCGCGGCTTTCGGTAAAGTATCCACTAGCAGATCTACGGGAGGGGCCCGAGGGGGCCCGGCCCCCCCTTATTTTTAGACCAAACTGAGGCCCGTAGGGCCGAAAAAAATGTTTTAAAGACTGTTCCCCCCCTTATCTCAGGGTCTAGATGACCGCCCCCCCTGATCTCAAGGTCTAGATCCGGAAATGGTATCACTACTTATATTTTATTTACGCACGAAAAATTATGCGACAGTGGAAATCCACTTTTACTATTTATTTTATCATTCTATGTACAGCTGTAAGTTACATGAAAATCACAAGGCTTCTACGTTTTACCTTTTTCAACGTCATGGCTTGGCGCATGCGCATACAAGTAAGCAGACCGGCTGATGACTCCCGCCATCAAAGCGCGTTGAGTGTTTTCCTGTGTAAGCTTCTCAATCTCCGTTTGACCAGTCTTAGCATTGGTCACAAAGGCAATCACATCGCCCTCCTCTAAATCAGGCCTTCTTTGAGCAGATTCTGTAAGGTTCAGATGATAAGCAATGTCCGCATTACCAGTTGTCACCATCTTAACCACCCTTAGATCTTCGATGCGAGCTCGTTGTGCCTCCAGGTGGTCTGTTAAAACTGAGGCAATGCAACTTATTGTTAGTATTCCCCATAAAAGTGACGGGGGTGCTTGTCGGAAAATTTCGAGAACACCCAAAAAGGTACCAGAATCTTGGTGTATGGGCTCGTCCAAAATTCATTTCCACCCCTATACCCCTAAGAGCTGGGTACTAATTCAACAACAACAAATTATATAACTGGCACTGCAAATTTTAATAGTAATAAAGATAACTTTCGAATACTTTCTTCTCGAGGACTTTTTGAAAGTATTGTCATAAATCGTTATCCTAATAAAGCGTATCAACTCTGACAGTAGTCATCTTAGCTTTTAGCGCCTTCAAAGGTACCCCCCCGGGCGCACTGTAAGCCCCGTTCCAATCCTTCTCGTGATCATGTAGCACAGGGTGCAAACTGGGAACCAGTAAAAGGGCGCGAACCTTCAGGGCGGAAAAACGTTCTGCGCAAGCTTCTGCGCATCCCTTATCGCAGGCTCAAGGCGGGCTTTTCTGTGTGTTGACTGTGTTTGTTTGTTGCTGGAGTTCTGAGTGAAATGCACGGGGTGCGAACATTTGCTCCCTGTAAAGCATTTTTTGACATGTTTGCTTTTTTTTCGTCGCTTGAAAATTACTTTGGATTCAGAACAACCAATGTTAAAGGAAAAACGGATCATTCAGTCAGTCTGAGGTGGAATAAAAGGTTTTGAACATTTCTTAAGAGGCGAGTATTTTTCTGATTGTGCATCCGATTAATTTATGGGTTGATTTCGCCGGGTTGAATTAAAACCCGCTTGTATTCTGTTATTGGTAGTTACGGTTACTTTTTTTACATGCCCAGATTTATTACCTTTGCAGAACCAGCTTTATCTTTGTCTTCAGTCAAAGAACCATATTGCTGTTGTAACGCATCAGAGTGGACCAACTTGTGCGCTTATTAAACTTTCTCGGAAATAGAAGGCCACCAAGCTTAATCAAGATCATTTTTCTGTTGCTCAAGTAATAACAGTCAGAGTTTTTTCATTTTTCATGACATAGTTTTGTTTTCCAGTGCACTGTGAAAGTTTCTCTTCTTTATAAGAATAACTTTCTGTACGCAAATTGTCCTTTTCACTCGCTGTGAAGTAAAGAACGATAACTGCCGGCAGTGACTTCAAAACAATTGACTCTTTTCCCGTAAACAATTGCTGCAGCTTGATTTGACTGAGGCGAGCAAAACAAACCCTTATGTGCAATCTTCTGTATTTTCTAATGATCGGCTGAGTTTAATTTGCTTGAACGAAGATCCTTGCATGGACCAGTTAAGCGTATTGAAAATAGCTAAATTGTGAATCATGGCTTGGCTGCCAAGTTGCAAGTGATCTTTTGCTTTTAAGATCTTTAGGTAGGTTGTTTTCGCACAGAAAAACCATTTCTTCATTGTCAGCAACAAGTTTCTGAAATTATGTAACTTTAACTTTGTTTGAAAGAAATCCTTACTTGTAGGTTTTTGACAGATGTTATGCGTGTTCAACTTGACAACACAAAGCAAAATTTATATATCTGCGCGAAATGAGCAAGTTTAAAAAACTATAGTTGCTTTGAAACCGATTTTTGGGAAGATTTTACTAGATAAAGATTGACCTTCTTTCTACTCACATATCAAGGCAATAACTTCTACATTGAGGATTTTGTTTATATTTTAGTGATTTGCGAAACTACGAGTGTCCCATCGAGCGAGGGTTTTGAAATATCCGCTCGAGTGCGACAAAGTTCAGTGACTTCAAACACATTGTGGGCAAGCGTTAATTTTTTTGGGCAAATCACTGTCCAAAGATATGTTGTTTTTGTGTCCACAACTCCGGACCTTATATATCCAGAAACTTCCTTATATGAACACATTTTGTGAATGCATCTTGAAAAAAATCGGACCTACGCATTCACATTTCCAGTACAACGCAAGGAAATTAATGTCATTAAAGTCCGTTTTACTATGAGGTATTCTTCGACAAAATTAAGTAACGAAAAGGTTATAACCACAGCTTGCAACTTTTGAAGACAAATTGCCTGTTCTTTCCAGGTTATGAGTGAAAACATTTTATTTTTAGGTAAGAAAATAGTTGAAATCCCGCCATTTTTTCAAACCCGGCCAGGGGATCTGGGCAAAAAAGTTCACGCATGCTTATTACGTTTTTCCGCCCTGAAGCGCGAACCGTACCGCGCGAAATACGAGACGCGGCTGTTCGCTGCACGATTAATGCGAAGAGTACTATGTTGTTTTGGTTTGAGTACTAAAATTTAAAGCATTAAAGCAGTTTTGTGCCCGAAAATATTCACTCCTACCCAGTTGTCGAAGGAAAAAGTCAAGTAAAAGGTGAGAGGCAAATATTTTCATGCAATGAGAGCCGGTAAGCCGAAGTCCAGTGAGTAAGCTAAGTAAGTAAGTAAGTAAGTAAGTAAGTAATTTTATTTAACCACATATCGCATATGAGCGATAGCTCGTTTAAATGCAAATGTGCCATAAAAATTACAACGTGATAATTTACATAATCTACATGTACAAGTAATGAATAAAAATAAAAAATAGAAAAATTAAACCAACTAAAAGATAATAATAATTTAAAAAGAAAAAATATTGGTAATCAGATTGTCTATTTACAAAATTCACAGTTGCAGTCATACGATGAAGACAACTGTATGTTTTGTAAGTTTTTCCTAAAGATAGAGAGGGACTCTGACATCCTTATTTTGTCTGGTAGACTTTTCCATTGTTTGCCAGCCTGGTACGTGAAAGAATGTTGCATATAAGATGAGGTTGGTCTTGGAAGAACAACCTTAAGATGGCCCGTAGGCTGTAGCCATTGCTTCGCAGTAAAAACATTTCCCGAATGTAGTTCGGTGCCTGGTTATAAATGCTATTGTATACAAGTATCAGTGCTTGTTCTATGCGTCGATGTTCCAAGCTTTTGATATGTACAGTTTTAAGTAGCTCTTCATAAGCAGTCAACTTGGAGTAGTTAAGAAGAGTCCTAAGAGCAAATGCATTGGTTGACTCTAGTTTTGCAGACAAACCTTTACTTAGACCTATGAACAATGGTGATGCGTATTCAAAGTGACACAGAATAAATGCTTTGTACAGTTTAATCATAATATCTGAGGGTATAAGTTTACGAATGCGACGAAGAATTGAAACTTTTGTGTTCACTTTCCGGCAAATTTCTTTAATATGTGCTTTAAAAGAGAGTGAATTGTCGATAATTACACCAAGGAGCTTGATCTGTGGAACGTAATCCAGTTCATTGCTGTCAATAACAAAGGGCGTTGGTAGAGTTGCTCTATTGAAGACGATGGATTGAGATTTACTATGGTTGATCGCTAGGAAGTTCTTACAAAACCAGGAAACGAGTAGACCAAGGTTGTTTTGTAGATTTATTTGCAAGGTGGATGGACAAGGGCTTGAAGAATACCCCGTAGTGTCATCGGCATAGAATCTTAAGGAGCACGAAATATCTGAAAAATTCGCATCATTCATGTATATATTGAAGAGAAGGGGGCCCAAGATTGAACCTTGAGGAACTCCACACTTCATAATTTGCCAATCTGACAGGTTACCGTCTATCTTGACATGTTGCTTTCGGTCAGTCAAGTAAGAACGTAGAAGTTGTAGGGCGTCTTCAGTTACACCGTACGCTGACAGCTTTGCAAGAAGCAAATTATGGTTAATAGAGTCAAATGCTTTGGAGAGGTCTATGGTAATTGCTGCAGAGTGCTCGCTAGAGTCTAAATTTGCTCTAATGTCTTCGCATGTTTTGAGGAGGGCTGTTGTACATGAATTTCCTTTCAGAAAACCAGATAAATTTCCACTGAGGAAGTGAAGGGAAAACTCGTATAGCTGATCAAAGATAACTCTTTCGGCTATCTTTGAAACAGCCGATAACACAGATACAGGACGGTAATTAGACTTCATAGTCTCGCTATCTTTTTTATAGATCGGAGAAATAATGGAAGTTTTCCAATTTGTAGGCCAGGAACTACCAGTGATGCATCGATTAATAAATTTTGTGAGAGAACTGAGAATTCCTGGTTCAGCAAGTTTCAATAGGCGTGGAGAGATTCCGTCAGCACCGGTGGCTTTATTAATTTTGATACTAGAAAGTATCCTCTTGATGTAGGAATCCCGAACAGGAGTAAATGAGAAGCTCATTTGTCCTTTAAATTTCTGTTCGATGGCTATAACACTGGAATGGGTCTTAAACTCTTCTGGCTGTAAGTTAGACATGTGGGTAGGCCTGGGTACTGCATGAATGAAATAATCGTTTAGAAGATTGGCGACATCAATACTGTCAGTAATGAGGCGCCCATCTTCAATCAGTTGAATATGGCTGTTACCTCTGTCCTTGCTTGGAAGCAAACAATGAAATTTCTTCCAAAAGACAGCCAATCCGCCAATTGAAAGAGCCAATCCGCCATTGAAAGAGATCATTTATTCGGCAGCCTGCAGTTATAGCTTCGGTGCGTTTTTTTGAATACTTTTTTATTTTTAGCGAGTTTTCCCAGTCTTTCTAAACGCTTAGATGATAGGCAAAAAGCATAATGGGGTTTACAACCAGCGTCGAGATTCAAACGAGAATATTCATTTAAGTCATGTGTTGTGACTGTTAGTAGGTTTAAGCAGTCCCAACTGACTGTTCTTTTGCATTCACCGAGGGTCGCTACTTTTATTTCAAGCGTCTTGTTAATGTCCCATTTGAGCGCAAAAGTACTCGAGCAATATTAAAACCGACGTAACTAAGAGTTTTCACTGTGGGATATTTACACACTAGTTATGGAGCTTTTCACAAAATGTTCAACACTTGATAAGCCCATAAAATAATGATTGCTTTTTGATTCTCAACCTTTTTTCATTAGAATACTGTTCATGAAAATAGCATAAATTTTGCTGAGATACATCCTCTGTTGCTACATGGTGTATAACTCTACGTCTCTGTAGTAGTCTAGAAGCACACAGTACCAATCTCCAGGTTATGGGATGGCCAGTTTCTTATGTTATCACAATTTTTTACAGCAGTAAGCAGGGTAACAACCAGAGTAACACGTGGCAAAGACCTACATTAGTAAAGTTTTTATTTTTAATATTAATACATGTACGACTAAACCTAAGTGTTGCATGTGCACATTTTAATTGCCATGCCTACAGTACTGTATTGGTCATAACTGTGGATTGTGGTAGGGTGTGTTTCCTTGCTGAATTTTGGTCTTCTTGACCATTGGGGAAGTGGCTGAATAAATTTTAAAATGTAACTACATTATTTTCAGTGAAGGGTACATTGAAATGATGATACAGTGTATAATCAAAAGAGTCAACTTACTCTTTTCAGCATAAAAGGTTTGTACCCCAGGAGGGCTGTCACCAACAGTTGTACATGTACCTACTGAAAAGCACAAAAGAAAACTGATCAGATGACCAAGCAACAAACTGTTGGATATTGAGACAACCTTTTGGATAAATTTAAAATGTACCTGAATGTGGCGAGCCCCCAGGATTATTTTGAGGACTTGAATTTACACCTGAAGAATAGTCAGAATGACAAGAACCTACAGAGATCAATCATCTGTCAATCAATCCAAGGAAATGGTAAGTGTAGATATGAATGAATGTCAATACACTTAGATTACATGCAGCTATAAGAATACTATGTATATACTGTACTATTAACATGCCATAACCTTACATGCCTTCCCTAAAAGTATTTGTGTACTGTAAACTCATGACATAGCCTGCGAAAACATCCGTTTCTCCTCGCTCTTCGTTGCTGAGGACGTTTCGCGCGGAGGAACGTCTGCGACTCAGCGAAAGAAATTCCATACTGATGACGTAAAATCTGTCCAGAATCCGGTCAGAAGCGCTGATTGGTCGACGGAGCAGTTACATTGTTTTAGCTATTGTTTACAAATGACAGACAAAAGACAAAAGGCCAAAAAGGTCAAATGTAAACACGAAGAATCTCTAACAAAACAGTCAATATTTGTGCAATATAGTCTTCTCTAGAAGAAGCATTTGAGTTTTGCTGGAGCTCGTGGACAGATCAACACAACACTTTACCAAAATCGACCAGAAGACACGCAAAATTAGACAAATTTATATTTGGAACCCCATAACTACCGGATTTGTTATGTAAACATTGATTTGCGTCATCAGTATGGAATTTCTGTCACTGAGTCGCAGACGTTCCTCCGCGCGAAACGTCCTCAGCGATGAAGAGCGAGGAGAAACGGATGTTTTCACAGGCTAGACCCATCACTGCAGAGCACTAACCATTCCAGAACTGCGATATCAAAGTCCTTTTATGGGCACGTTATTTTCTAATAGTAGCAGTTCACTTTGTCCACAATCTATTGCATAGCCAGAATTATAGCTGTACTTGTTAAGCTTACCTTTTAAAAATGGAATCTGATGGTGAGAAATAAAACTCAGATAGCGTGAACACAGCATCATTTTGTGCTGTTCCATAGGCACTTTCCTGGTGCCCATTCACCAACTGAGCACAATACACTTTAGCCTTATCCAAACTGGAATGCTTCCTTAACCTAATGTTTTGTTGTACGTCTCCAATTGTTTCCTTTTCTACTTTTATATCCGCACCTACCTTTGCAGAAAATTCCTTTTGTACAATAAAGGAGCCCTCCCCTTGCCTTAAAGGTTTTAATGCTATAATATTATCCTGCTAGTATGTGGAGATAACAATTTACATTTCCTTGATCTTTACATTAGAGGTAAGATTTACAAAATAAATTTATCGGTGTACAGTACACTATTTGATCCATCCCCAACATAACTAGTAATCATTTACAGTTGTACCTGCAGTTGCATAAAAAAACAAAAACTAAAAGCATAGGAGTTAGTTGAAAATATAAATTTTATATAATATATATAAATTCATTGTAAAACATGTGCATGACAGAACCATCCATTATGCCTATCAGCCTCTATCTGCTATCTATAAAAAATTAACTACAACATATACATTCTACTAAAAGCCATTTCTAAAAAAGTTACCTGATTCATTTCTTTTCCTCTTATTTGAATTTGTTGGAACTTCGTCTGGTGCTAACAAAAATTGTAATTATTTTAGTATAATGTTAAAAAAAATATGTATCTTGAATCTTAAATGCTCTTCTAAAATTTATCAGAGCATTAAATGCTAATACATGTGTAATAAATTGATTATCAAGTTAACTACTGATAATGCATTATAAAAACAAAACATTTTCATTTATCAGTTCATTGTGAATAACAAAGTGCTGTTTAACTTTAAGTTGTTATTCTTGCTCCAATACATGGACTGCAAAATGAGACAATGTTATTTTTATGTTAATTCATTGTTCATGTACTACACAACCTGAACAATGAGCTTATCATGACTTGTATTATCAATAGAATTAGGAAACAATTAATTGTACAGCTCTGAAGCAAAGTTAGACATAGTCATGGTTCTTCATTGGAAAGTCACTTTACCTGTACCAGGGGAGTCTGGTTTGGGTGCCTTTGGTCTTGTTCTAATGCGAAATCCCTTTGAAGTGAATCTTCCCACAAAACCATCAATAAGTTCCACAATGATAGCAATCTGCCATCTGTTCCTTTCTTCCACCTCAACTTTGTCCAGTGAGTAAACCAGTTCGTCTGTTGATGTTTTGTATACAGAGTCCAGATCAACTGAGAAATGAACTGCATTAGCTTCATATTTCTCATGGCTGACTTGAAGCTCTGTGGGACCTGTTGGAATAAAATTTTCAAATGCTGACTGAATTTTTTAGGGCTAAAGAAACAGGCCCAGGGAAGGAGGGGGTGAGGGTGGTGGGTCATGTACCCTTTTCAGACTTGAAGTTAGGGATTTCTGTAGTTGAGGTGTGAAATGGGAGGGAAATGTGACCTTTAGGCATTTAAAAGAGCCTTTAATTAAAATATTTGGAACACCAACAATCTATAGTTTCGTTATGTTGTCTTGTAAAATCATTTATAAACTTCAATCCAAGTAAGGGTTTAGAAAAGGTATGCAGTGTTCTTACATATGTGTACATGTTCAGGAAAGCTGTACCATCTTTGTGAAAAATGGAACTTTTATGAGAGGGTACAGTTGGAGCCTACCTTTATGTAAGTACCTCCCTTGTGATCACAGGGCTTGTACTGTATTGTTTTGAGTAAATTTCCTTCATCTTTTTTATATACAGCTGTATATGCAGGGGTTTCAATAAAAATTGAAGTAGCCAGCAGATTTGAATAGAGTAACCAACTGTTTCAACAGTCCACATTTTCAAGGGGTGTCTGGGGGAATTCTCCCTCAGAATATGTTAAAATTGCAAAGCCCTAATAAGAGATTTTCAGCGTTCAGGGGACTAAAATGAGTATAAAAGAGTGAGTTTTCCATTCAGGAAGATTTGGGTTGTACATGTAGTCAAATTTTGATTTATTGGCCACACAATTAACTCCTGCAAGCAATGAACAAATGATATTTATACTAAGTTATATACATTTCCACGTGAACAGATTCTGTTTTTGTCCATGACATAATTATTCAAACTACTTGCTTCTTCTTTGAGGGAAAAAGCAGCGCTGACTTCTCTGAGCAATGTAGCCGACGCATCTCGTCGGTCATCGGTGCTTATTGAAACCCCTGATATGTATATGTATACAGTGTACAGTAGCTACATTTTCGGTTTTACTTTCCCATAGCACTTAAAAGTTTATGAATTATCAATTTAAGACTCCACCACCCTCGTGCTTATTTGTTAGATGCGGATTTAAAATGGGTGAATTCAATTGATGTGTCAGCTTATAGCTGCCTCTGTAAACTGCATGGATTGTAAAATACTGCAGTGGTAATAAATAATGGTGGTCACTCCTGTTATTTGTAAAGCTTTTAGCTAGTTACTGTGGTGTATGGTCACTTGCCATAAAAAATATTGTCTTCATTAATAATGAGGCAACTCTCTGTTTTAAAATATCAAACTGATTAAAAAAGGTGGCAATGTTATGATTTTGGAGAGCCACCTTAACATTTTCAAAACTGTGTATTCTGTAGTGCATTCTGCTCCATGTGTCTGGTGAATCACTTTCTGAAATCTACTTACCAACATGAATTCTGTCACTAACTTTTCCTGCTGCCTCAGGAGTACGCTCAACAAATGCCCTAATACTTTTTATTTGGCCCTCTGTCCATGCAACTCCATTAACTTTTCCTTTGGCAATACGCTGTTCAGAACATGGTAATTTCTTAATTTGGACTTTGTCGTAGACATCTTTCAGGTCATCTAACTGAATGTGAATTTGTGGTGGCCCTGGATAATGGAAATGACTATTAGGTCCCTGATTAATTAGCATCTTAAAAAGCACTATCATTGCAGTCATTGACAAATATTATGCGGTTATGACCATTTCAAACTCTCAGTTCAATTCTGCAGTGAATATTTCACTCAATAAAACTCCCTTTGACTAAAGAAAGGTAACCTACAAAATGTTTTAAATTAACTTTTACAAAAACATTATATTGTTTTTCTGTTGTCTCAAGGTAAAGTGAATTCATGTATGAGCTCATGTATCAATAATCAGCTGTAAATATAGTCTACAAAATGTAAATGCTCCTCCACAAATAGAAACAGCCCTCATAAAGTACAGTGTGTGAGATGTGAACGCAGTGTTTGAATAATTAATTGATGTTTTTCGGGAAAATACCTAAAATCACCAACCCGGAACAGATATTATTACTTTCGTTTTGACGACTGTTTATTTTTGATGTGATTGTAAGCAGCTAGAATTCGGTTAATTAAAAACTACGTGCGAGTGTATTTAAAAACTAGCAAAAGGCTGACGCATTTATAAAGCTTAATTAAGCCTGTTGTGTTGGAAAAAAAAGAGCAAAGAAAAAAGAAAAGAAACAAAACTATATAAAAAGTTAAAGACACTGAAAACAACGCTCTTCATGATCAAAGAAACAGTCATCAGATACAGTATTATTACATGTTCAATTATACGTATAACAAGAAGTGTATGACTAATACAACTGTACCAAGGTCCTCGCTAAGAACATGCATCCTCAACGTCTTCAAATTGCTGCTCTAGATTAGTATATCCAAACCCAGCCATCGAGCACCACTAGTGTTCAACAAAAACAACGTGCTGACACGATTTTCTTAGTCCTATTATGGTGCATGGGAGCATACGTGCTTGCCAAAAATTAATGAAACTGTTCACGTCCCCTTTCGAGACTGTCTATCTTTAGTCCCTAAGTTTGAAGCCTTGGTGGCATTGCTAAACGTATACCAGGGTGCGCTCAAAAGGAAATTAAATCGTCAAATAATATGCGTCCTAAATAAAGACGCAGAAATTGAAAGGAAAAGTGTCCTTAGTCTTGTGACGTACTGTTTAGGGAAAGTCCCTTCCAGTACCACCTCTTTATTGAATTATCAACAATAATCATTTCAGGGGTATTTCTTAGAACTATCCATGTCTTCCGGCCGGTGTAGGGGCCATAGGTTAGCTGGGTAAATTTGTCAAGCAAACTGGCACTTTTAAGCTTGTCTACATTCACTGCACTGACCACCTAAAAAATCCCAACAAGAAATACAGTAAACCAAGTGCAATGTAACTGAAACGTTCTTCTAGAACTAACATTGTCTCTTTGTGACGCTTAACTCTGTAACAATGGGTTTTCTAATAAGGGCTAATAATAGTGGGTGCAAGAGGAGTGGTGTTCGGTTGGTTCCAATCTGTTCCATTACGTCCCCTGGCTATACATTCCCCGCTTTAAAACTGGGTCGACTTTCTTACGTTTCCCTTCGTCTTGTTCTCTATATCTGGTTGAAGGTCGGAGTGTTTGCTCCGGCAGAAGGCGCGATCTGTGTGATGATTTTACCGCAGAAAGTAGGACATGCGCCGTGCTTCGTGTATGTGTTCTCTCGTGTTGCCTTGCTAGAGCCTTTGTGAAGAGCGTGCAGCCCTGTCTCGCTCTTAGGTGAGGTGATTTCACTGTACAAATGGCTGTCGCAGATCACCCAACATTGGAGCCGTCATTTAGCGCTTACTTTAGTTAATCTAGTAAGAATTAAGATCCCAGATAGTTCCTCCTTCCCTACTGTGCAGCCTATCAGTAAAAGCTTCGGTCAACTATAAAAACAAACAAACAAAAAAAAACCACGATATGGAGTGTTCCAGCCCTCTGTTACATTTCCTGGCATTCTCTGTCTAAATCTTTCAATTGCCTAATGTCAATGCACACTGTATGACCCAAAAAACCTGGATTCCGGTAATCCTTTCTGTTTCTTCTCTGAGAGGGACTTCATTGACGTGTCGTCTTCCTAAAGATTTACAGTGAAGCAAAGTTGTCTTAAACAAAAGACAGTGTTCCCATGTAGCTATTTGTTTCGTCATCATGCAGTCGATGTAGAAAGTATTACGAAGGTTGACGTCGCTTTCCGAACGAGACAGCGAAGTGTCAAGGAGTTTAGATTATTTTGCTACACAACAATGTACTTGCTTTTGATGAGCGTCAGTACTTTTTAGCTACGTGAAACAAAACGCTGGATCACGCGATCTTTAGAATCAATTCACTTGGAGAAGAAGGAAACTTTCCTGGTGACCTAATCACCAGCTAGGTGCCATCATGACACTGCGATCAGCACGTTTATTTGTACAGCCACAAGGAGAATTTAACTGAAATCAACCTCAAACATTACTCCACGGCTCCTTGGGACTTTACTTGGGACTTTAAACGACAAAATATCGAGACTTTTGATAGGATTATTTTTACATTATGATACAGGGTTTGCCTGTCAGGTGAATTCTTAGTTTTTCACATGAGTGTCAAAAATTTATCATCCAATAACAAAATTAGGCTATAAGTATTTTTTAATTTTTAAAACAATGATCGAGTTTTTTTCGCGCGAGACTTGATGACTAGAAGACTTGTCGTGAGTATTTTGAACAGCTTTCAAATTTCCCCATAGTGCTGCATGTTTACTTTCAATGATCCATGTAATGATCTTAAAAGCGTTTTCGATGAAACACACAGCGAAAATAAAACAATGAATTGAACAAAAATTAGAAACGTTTGTGAATTGCGGTTGTGGAAGTCTGAGATTCCTGTGGAGCTGAAGTGTTGAGGTATACAGATTAAGCTTCAATAAATTGAGTTGCCTTTAGGATCGACTTTAAGATGCCGCTATCCTAAAGGGACTCTCTAATCGTACAAGCAGTAGTAAATGTAGATTCATTTAGTAATAATTGCGTGGAGACACCGGTATGGATGACACAGATAGATGGTTAACACAAATATGTTTCAGTTGTTTTTCTTAGAACCTCGAATTTTCTCGTCGTTGAAAATCCTTTACGTCCGAAGAAAACTATTTTGATAACTGGCGTTGTTAAATCAACAGTTGATGTTTTCAAATTCTATATAGTACTTATTTCAGTCAATTTTACAAACAACGTATAATTACTGGTAAAATATTACACTTTACATGTAGTTAAGATGGCAACTCTAAATAGCATTGAAGTACTTTGCCAAATTGTAGTAAATTTCTCTCCTTTGACTGCTGGTTCAAATATAAATTAAAACGCGTTACAATTATCTCCATACCGAGTTCCTCCCCAAGTACTTCCTCTATATCGTGCAAGTGTTGTTCCAGATTAGTATACCCAAACCTGCAGGCCATTGCTTGCAACAACCTGACCCTCCGTAGGGATAAAGCGTTCTTCTGCTGTTTTGAAGACCTGTGGTCTGTCGGAAGCTTTGGCTTGTGAAACTGGCCAAACGTTTCAGTTTTGGTTTCAAACTGCGTCGTCTATCTTTAGTTCTTAAGCCTTTTGTTGAAAGTGAAAAACTATTGGTCTTGTGACGCGTTCTTAAGGAAAGCCCGTTGTTGTGCCCTTTACTTTCGATTATCCCTGCTAGTTTTTATATTTTCCCAGAATAAGTTTCCCTTAGCTTCCCTTATCGCTTATGTTTCGCTTTGGATTTCCGGTACCCAGGGCTCGGCCCGTTCTATCTATGTATTTTTTTTGGCCTCTCACGCTATTATGGCTTTAAACTTCTCTTAGTCTAAAGACTCTGAAAGTAAAAAAGAGCCTTATAAAGCTTCCTTTATGAAATCAGCAATTGATGTCTGAAATTCATGGAATGATTCAATTAAAACTCAGCTCCAGTAATGTACTTTACGAAAGACACAAAACGACGCCTACTGTGAAGTTACTATAGCAACAGTTTTACTTCTAGATCTCCTTGGCATTCCCCTAATGGACAAGCGTTGATGATGTTATCACTTCTCTAATTTGCATAACTCAAAACTTGAATATCTCGGAAACGGGTGAAGATGTTTTAAAACAGCAAGCAGATGTTGGAAGGCCTTTTATAAATAAGAATCACTTTAATTTCCTTCAAGTGCACTTGAACATGTTCAAGGCCTCTCAGTTCCAAATGTCGAAAGGGCGAGCTGATTCAGAGGTGAACATTTCGAAAGTGAAACTTCTCTCTTCACCATGAGGAATAAGAAGTCTATTAAGCTATTATTTACCACCCTGGAAAAGCTAAGCTGCAAACATCACGTTTTTTCTTTGAAAATACGTATACGTCAGCTCAATCTCTCGTTCAGTCGGTCAAACTTACATGCAGCACAATTCGTTCGATTGAAGCGCTTGTTGCACACATACAGAGCCCATAAAAAGATGGAAAGAGTTTTCCCGAACAGGAACGCATCGAAGTGGGAGAGAAACCGATTCTTTGGGCAGGGTATCAGGAATTATTTAGCCATGATGGATTATATGGCTTGAGAAAATAACGTCATGAAGTGTTTGTCGTTAATACACCCATCAACGTAAGGCCGGCGGGGGAAGCGGGGGCGGGGGGGGGCAGGGCATGGGGTGGGTATTTGATTGTCTTTTTTGGCCCTGGGGTAGGGCATTTGACTGATCTTGTTCTCCCAGGGGAGAGGATATTGGAATATTTCTTCGCACGACGTGGAGATATTTGACTGCTGACTCCTCCTTTGTTTTAGCTTGTTTTTGATCAATTGAACCTCTTAAAATACTGTGGTATCAAAGTAAACGGAAGTAAAGAGAAACCAAGTCGATTTTTGCAAGTACAATTGATTAGTGTATGGCTTATTCGCTACAATCACTGTAAACTTATAAAACTGGCTTTCTTTGTACCCTTTACTAAGAACGGTATATTTAAACTTACAGAATGTGGACTTTCTCCTAAAGGTTTATCTGTTCTACGCAGTGTAACACAGATTATGGTTAAAACGTATAATTGCAGCTGTAACAGTAACATGTATCTTTGGTGATGCAGCAACGTTTATAAAAGATTGTAGAGTTTTATTTGGAGATATTTTTAATGCGCCTTTCTTTGGTTCTGCCTTGAGATTGACAGCAATGTGCATCCTGGGGTGGGGAAATTTGGTTGCATTTGACTGGAATGATTTGCCCGTGGGCAGGGAATTTGATTGCAAATTTTTGAAAAAAGTCAAATCCCCACCCTATGCCCTGTCTCGCCCCCCGCCGGCATTACATTGATAGGTGCATAAGTCTTGCTAAGGTTGAGCCGTCTTGCCGGCAAAGGCAGTGCCTTCCTTTCCCAACTACGTACCTTTGACTGTCATATAACTGGCTCTAGACACAAACAATAGTATTTAGATTCCCCTTTAGCTAGGAGTTTAATTGCCTATCGAGTTAGATCAGTATGATCAAAGATCTCAAGAGTTTGAACTAACGATGCAGCATTATAAACGCGCACCACACAAATGAATCATAGCATGCTAACAAGAACCGCAGGAAAGCGCTGCTCTGTAGATTTCACTTGAACACTTGATCTGTTAACAGTTACCATTTGATGGCTTACATTCAGAATTACTGTATACGGCACTTGGCCAAACCAATAGGACCTCGCGTCTCATCTTGGTTTATACAACTGGGAGTCTTTCTAATTTGACCTGTTCTTGACGTCTTTAGGTTTTCGTCGCTGGTTGCTTGCGGGCTTCATCCTAGCCGTTCTATTAGGAGTTTTGCTGTACCAGTTATTTGCACCCGGCACCGCCCTTCGTTATTACAGATGTCAACTAGGCAGTATTAAAAACAGTGAAATGTGGTTTACATTCACGACAGTTGATAAGCAGGTACTTTGCTTTTTTTCTTGCACCCCTTGGTTCTCTTTGTCGCTTTTTAGCACATATAGGTGCGTTAGGGAGAGATCAAGATGGTGGGATATCGGGCTCCTTCGCTCATTTTTTTTTAAATTTGTATGGACTGAGCAGTACCGGATCCAGACCTTGTGGTCATCCAGACCCTTAGATAACGGGGAGCCCGGTCTCCAAAAAAGTATTTTTTCGGGCCTCAGTTTGGTTGAGGGGTTCCACTGAGGTCCCGTTCATATGGAGATAAGTTGTCTCAGGAAAGAGCATCACTCTTCCCGCCGAGTCAACTTTGGCTAGCGTACATATGAGAAAAACGTTGACTCCTTTGCCCGAGCCAAAAGGTGACATCAGCCCTTGCGCATGTTTTAATTGTCTCGGAAAATAGTGACCAGGCTAGGCGAGTCACCCATCTAGCCGAGCCACTTTTTTGTTGCGCATAAGGGTTCACAAAATTTTGTAAGGAAATGTTAAAAAAGTTAGCTCGCCTGGGGTTACCCGGGTAGGCGAGGATCCTTCTACCCGGAACAACTTCTCTTCATATAAAAGGGGCCTGAACAACCCTGGTAAATAAAGAATTTAGAGCGATTTTCGTATGACCTTGAAAAATGGTTTCGGTAAGTGTTCGTTATTTGTTTAACAGCCAATGGACGAAAAGATCAAAACATGGCCTGTTCGTTTTCCCGCCATAGAAAACCCTAATATGGAGAAGGCATTGTTCGATTGGCCAATCGTGTTACTTGTCGTAATTTCTAACCTAATTTTATTTGTTTCTTAAACCAGATTCCTCGAGTTCACGGTGTTGAGTTTACTTTCGATAAATTGAAGAGCAAAATGGACTTGAAGTTTGGCAAAATAAATCAAACAGGTAGGGAAATGAATCTTGAATGGTGAACATCGGGGAGTCTTTTGTTTTGTTTTTGTTTTTTTGTTTTCAAGTTTTGATATAGAGCATTAAGCGCATATCCATTGACACTGCTGGAAAATGGGTCTTGAAATAAGGTGCCTTAAACTTCCTCTTACAAGCTCCCCCCCCAGTTATAGGCCCTTCTAGGTTCCTTCTGTAGTTAACGAGGCACAGATTACGTACAACAAAAGAAACATTACAAACAAACAATAAAGCCCCCAGGAGAACTCTACTGTTTGCTTTCTTTGTTTCTTTTGTGATGACAGTACCTGCAGAAAGCCCGGGGCTTAAAAGCGGAAGTTTACAGTAACCTACCAAGTTTAAAGATGATACCTTCAACGAGAGCGAAGATATTGCTTTACAAAGTCTCGAAATTTTGCAGACGTTTGTATGGTAGTGGCAAGGCACGAAGTTGCCCCCCCCCCCCCCCCCCCCCCACCATACAAACGTACGTAAAATTCCGCCACATTGTACAGCTATATCTTCGGTAGTTTTCAACAAATCACTTTCACGTTTGGCATCTTAACTGACTTATAGCACTTATAGAGCCGGATTGTTTGAAAGTGAAGGGGGAATACCATGACTCGCACTCAAAGCGCGGTCATTTGCGCTGAGAAAGACGAAGATCACAAAGAAATACTCGTAATAACACCGCTGACTTGTTGATTTTTACCCAATTTTTCATTCTTCATTTCAGACGCCCGCTATTACCTTAATCTCGACCGATGCGCTTACGGCGGAATTCGACCTGTAGGATCGCCGTTGGATGGCAAAGAAATGGTCCGTGGAGCCGAAATAGTGGCAGTAAATTACAACTGTTCAACTGTTTATTATCACGCTGAATACTGGACACCTTATGTGAGCGCAAGGGACATTGTTTGCACGGCGCATCCCTGAGAAAAGATTGAGAAAGAACGCTGTTTCTTTGCGTTTACGGGAAACACGCGATCTCTTTTATAAGAAGACTCCCCAAGACGACAATTCAACGTTGAACGTTGGAGACGCCAGGTTATTTCCACGCAGTGACGTTTTTTAATGCACACGCAACGTTTTTAGTGTTTTTTTTTTCCGCTGACATTAAGAGACAGTGCACATCAAAGCGGAAACCAAGAATGCGTTTTATAAAATGCAGTGCATAGCTTTTTAGGTTTGGTTGTCGTGGTAAACGTTTGTTTAAGTAACGTTCACGTCAAATGACTTGGTCAAGATTTCTTGTATATAGAGAATGATTCAAGATGTGGTAAAGTTTGTATTGATGCGTTGCAATAACGACGCTGTATCTTGTCCAAATAGCTTTGTTTTACCCCGATTTTTTCTTCAGCACCACCCTTTTAGTGAAGTGCGCGAAAAAAAGATTGTCCACCGTGATTAAAACATTTAGTGATTCCCAATAAATTACCGGTTGGGCCCTGTTACAGTTAATGCTCATTTCTAAAGATGTTTGCTACAGCCCTTGACTCCCTTGCGTGAGTCAATTCTGTACGTATCATCTTCGACTGTTTTATAGGTACCACACAAGTTAATTTTTTTTGGATAATCGTATAATAATTGACAACTGCGCTCATGCACATCCAGGTAAATAGTAGGTTGCTGTAGTTCTCCCGGAATACATAATTATTTTACCATTTGCAGACTATGAGGAGAAATTTATGTGACTTTGGAACGTAAGGAAATGAGATGGTTATTAATATTTATAGTGATGTTACAATGTATTATTTTAGAAGATTAGGAATTTTTCGTACTTATTCAATACGAAACTTACAATACCCAATCGATGATTATATTTCAAAGGGGGTTTATATACTAAAAGTACATGCTTTATAGACATTCGAGGAGATCTGCTCCAAAAAGTACTTACTGATGACTGATCAATTTTCACAGACCCTTTTTGTTGTTTAACCCTGATACCTGATATGTTACTTTTGCGCATGCTCAGAGAACGCCTCGAAGGCTGGTCCTTCGTTTTAAATTAAATTTTGTTGTATTAGTTATGGAATTTGTAATTGCTTTTTTGTTTAAGTTGAAGTGTACAAAAACTTTAAGATTATTTAACTGAATACATTATTGCAGTGTAGAATAAAAGCCGCGCGCTTTTTGAATGGCTTATACAAGCGCAGGGACGATAGAACATAGGAAAAGGGGACATTTCCATGCAGTTATTACTATAAATTATGGGAAGAAAGCGAGCTGGGAGTATTTTTTTTCGTTTCATTTTATTGAGAAGTTGTTTGTAATTTATTAAAAAATGTTGCAAGTGATTGTAATGAATTAGAAAGAAGGTAAAATTATGTAAAATTTATTATGTAAAAATTTGGTAACTGAATTCTCAGTTTAGTTTAAAAAGTATACAATAGAACAATTTTTAATTGCCGTGAAAATACTCAACAAATGTTCATAACACTCGACTGTGGTTCGTGATTTTGAATACATTTTGTGATAGCTTTGTAACTGATATTGACGAATGTACCAAAATAAATTGATTTATATAAATTGGTGGTGCCTGTGAGTGATAGTTTTACTTTCTCGAAAATCCTTTTCCAGGGCATCTCTTCTTCCCTTCAGTGAGACCATTCAGAGAGAAACTGGGAACCAGGTTCAGATCTCGACTGATAAATGAAAAGAGTTTAAGCTTACGGTAAACGACAAACGGCAGAAATTATCTGAACTAACTTTACCCCAGTTTGAGAGCTCATGTACTTGTCGAACATAAAAAAGTGAAAGGTAAAGAGTCCTTACTTTACGTCGGTAGTTCGAAATAGTCACCAGTACCAGGCGAACAAGCTTGACGCCGACAGTGCGTTCATTTTCCCAACCCTTAAGATGTTGGCTTCGAATGCTCTCTTAAACACAGATATGTTTACGGACGATCGTAAGCGATACATGAGTGTATGGATATATATACCGTTAATATTGTCTTTCCGTCCTGAATACTCTTACTGAGACCAAAATCTGCCGTTTTCATCCCTAAGCAACGAGACAAAACGGCATCCCCTCCTCTCTCATACTGCATGTGTTCCCTTCCCCAGAATCGTAATTTGCCTGTGGGGCTTAAACCTCTATCAAGTTACGTTTTATCAAAGAGTGTTCTTATGGAATCTTATAGAATTTTCTCCTCATGGAGACATTCCTATATATCTTTTCGTTCTTTCACTTAACACACGCAATAACTTGTTGTATAGCACGAAGTTTAACGTTAACCAATGGCTATAGAGCTTTCTTATTTATCTCTCAATAATCGCGTTCCAGATTCTCCTTGGCTACAAATAGAAAATCTGAGGAGGAATTTGGTGTTTCAAGGGGATGGTGGCGGCTTGCATTTGATGTTTCGCGCCGAATTGTACCGCGTCCATTTGTGAATATCGCACTCCACATAATACACCTCAGTGCAATTCGGATTCACTGCAAACAACACTGGTCCACGAATTTGCGGATTGTGATCCAAAACAATATGTTCAAAGTAGGCACAGCGGGCAAGGTTGAGATAATAATGCATTCCTGTAAAGAGAAGTCTAAGAAAGAGAAAAGTCTTTCAAGAAGTAAACTGTACGACCAAATTAATTAAGGCTGTGTCCACAACATACCGTGTACCATGAAAATTTTGCGGGTTCTAATTTTTGCGAATTTTGCGGATTGCCCTCCATCAGCAAAAATTAGTTCCCGCAGAAAAAAAACCCGCAAAATAAAACGCCGCAAAAATTAACTCCCTTCAGTCGAATTAAAAACTCTGCTTTTAATGGACTTGTTGTGTATGGTAGGGATAGGCTTTTGTTTTGTTTTGCTGTTGTTCAGTCCCTTTGTGCAGTAAGATATTACAGTGATTACCGTATTATTCTCCATTAAATATGTAAGTAGAGTGAACTTTGACTCAACATACCGTAAAATAAAAGTTGAAAATACCATATTAAGGTTTCTTCCACTTAAATATTCTGCTACTTGAACAGAGAATCGCAAAAATTAGTTCCCACCAGAAATTTCAGTCATCTCGAACCGCAAAAATTTGTTCCCGCAAACCACAAAAAATCGCCAATCCGCAAAATAAAACTCCCGCAAAATTTTCATGCTACATGGTAGAGTGTTTTCACATGACGTCACGGCCGCCATATTGGTGTCCCAAAACAATGAAACGGCGGCCATGTTGGTGTCCCAAACCAATCCTTTGGGAGCTGAAGTCTTCTCTTATGCAAACCCTTTCTTTTGTTCCAATAAATTTGCATAGATGGTGGCCACGTGAGTAAAAACGCTCTATACCGGATAACTTTTAGTGCCGACATGAAACGTTCAGTGTGGTTATAAAGAGCAACGGCACAAAACTGGGACAAGTCGTTCACACACATCGAACACCTTGCCGAAGCAATTGGTGAACTAGATCCCAGTCCCCACTCCTAAAGATTTACTTAGTTCTCAGTGCATTCCAGTCCTCGCTCCTACTTCTTCACTCCTGCGCGGAACCTATGCGATATGTGACTCTCCATTTTCTAGATCGGCGCGGCGGAGCTTCGCTCCGTTGCAGAAATCGCGCCGAAATCACCTTTCTAATGTGTGAACAGTATCCCTATCCGGTATATAGTGGAACCCCGCTATAAGGAAGTGCAACGGTACCGAAAAAATTGTTCGTTAGAGCGAAGAACCCGTTATAACGAATTATCTGGTTAACAGCAAAAATATTCGTTATAGCGGGGTAATTTTCATTCATTTGACACTGTAAACTGTCAGTGTGAAGCGCTGACAATCAAGACATTAAATTCAAAAACAATTTCAATTAAAGCAAGCTGTGATTTCGTTCTACTCAAATCTGTCGTTTTTACTGACTACTGCGAGCGACCGGACAAAATATTCGTTATACAGCGGGGTAAATTGTGCGTTGGGATCGGACCGTCAAAATCAATTCGTTATAGCGGGGTTCGTTTCCACGTGATGTAATTCCGCCAGGCATTCAGATGTATTTCGTTATAACGGGGTATCCGTTATAGAGGGGTTTCACTTTAGTTGTCGTGCCGCCGACGCAAGAGCTATCCGGTATAGTTGTCGTGCCGCCGACGCAAAAGCTATCCAGTATAGTTTGAACATAGCCTGACACGAATTTGTGAAATTATGGGATCTGTTGGGATATTCAAAAAGAAGGAGATGAAAAATACCTCCTTGACTAAATTCATGGATTTTTTTAAATTCTTAAATGAATAACAATGTAAATATCTCTCCTCTAATTTAAACGAACTGGATACGAACACGCTGACTTTTGTCAAGAAGGCATTTTGCCTTGCTTTCTCAGACTGAAGATGTCAGCAAATGCCATAATTTCACTAAGTCTAAGGGAGATACTGGCCAATTAAGGATAGGTACGAGTCACGAAGGTTATTAAACCCGGACACTCATTCTCTTGGGTCCTATTGAATAAGTCATGTAAATGAAAATTTATATCCTATTTTAACGCCCAGGATGACATAGAATTTAGTTGAATGAACACCTCAAAAACCACACCCTTTTCCTTGGCATACCCTGATGCAGCTTTAATATGGGAGTACCTAGGGGATCTGAGGTTACACGCCGAGAGTCCCTGGCTAAGCATAGACGTTTGCAAAATCTCCTGGGCAGATAGACTCGGTAGTGCCCATTGCAGAGATAAAAACCCTGGATTTTTACTGGCTTGTACATACGTAGAGAGAACATCTGACAAATAGAATTAAGACTGCGTTCCACTTCAGCGAACGTGAGTAATTAGTTATGCACGTACCTGATGCATTATACGGCTGGCAATAACCCTGAAGATGAAGCTTCTTCATCAATTTTTCCCACGTGAATTCGAGTCCATAAACTTTAGGATACTGAATCAAAAAAAGCACAAATTTTTTATCAAGGACAATCGAACTATTACATCGAACGCAGAGTTGTCCATTTTTAAGGCTGTCTATCAAGGCTAGCACTCCCCGGGTCTACAGTAGCAGGCTAGCGCTGTTTGTGTTGTTGTAGTTGAATAAAGGTATAAGAACTTGCTGTTAGACATAAAGAATCCAAAAGCTCCTGTAAAGAATTAACAGCCATTCACTCTGAAAGTAAGCGCTGATACTAGCTTGTGCACAACCACCCCCTAACCTGTAAAGGTGCTTTATATTAAAGAGTCCGGAGTAAAAACAACCGACGTTTATTCCCCCGCCATGCTTACTACACCGATCTGACGACAAGGTGCTCGCACATTCGAGAATCCTAGTCTACTCAATATAATCCCGTATATGGTAACAACACTGTATATATGGTAACGACACTATAACCTAATCCCAATTTATATGGGCCATGTTGAAACTTCCCGAGCACCAATCTTCCACTGCCATAAATGAAAGATGGCGGCTAACGACACGAACAAGGTTTCGCCCTAAAATACCCTGCACTTGTTTGTTTTATTGTTTGATAAGCGGGAGCGGCTATACACAGGTACCATATGACAGTTTGTTGCAAAGGCTGTCGCAGTCATGAATACAATGGTTTCATCGATATATCAAACATGCATGCAGTAACGTTTGATCAGTAACAGCACCATATGCAGTTGAATCTCTCGTGAGCAACCACCTAGACGGTAGCTTACGGGAAGAGACTGCTTACGAAATTTTAACCACAGGGAACTCTTCCGAGTGGAGGTTTGGACTCGTCTACTTTGGGGAAGATTAATTATTGCATGCAATACATTATACACTGTGTAGTTCCATATTGCCACTAAACGTTCTTCGGACTTTGAGCAACATTGTAGATACAGCAGACATGGACATCAAACCATGCATCCAGTGGTCGCTTACAAGAGATTAAAAGCAATACAAAGCCCCCCAAAAGGAGTCACGGTCGGTCGCTTAGAGGAGGTTAGCCTGTGTAGCTGGCGGTATTGTGTAGTAGTCGTGTGAGATTTGGCGGCGAAGCCTAAGAGGAGGAGCTCGTTTGCGAGAGGTTCCAGCTGTAACACTTTGACTGGGAAATATTTTGTGTTTTGGATAAGTGGTCGCTTATGCATATAAAGGTGGTCGTTTACGAGAAGTGGTCGCACATGGAGATTCGACTGCAGTATGCTAACAGCTTGCACTTACCTGGTGATCATAGGTAACGTATTCAAAGTAAGCTGTATGGCCTTTGATTCTTCCTTTCTTACACTTCCAATACTGGTAGATAGTGCCAGGAGCACAAAATATGTAGAGGAGAGCAGCTAACATCCCAGCGAAGACAAGAAATAACGCCAACTTCCACGCAACGCCTGAAAAATAAATCAATAACACCAATATTCACGAAACAACGCACGCAGCTTTGAAAAGCAGACAGAATTATCAGTTCTTACCAAGAGAGTATAATTAATGCTCTAAGATATGACATAATAATTGGGAGGTATGAATCACCCTCTTCCGTGGCCTTCCGCTTGACCCTCGAGCTTCTTGTGACTTTTTCTCGCTGGATTTATCGAATGTATGGAGATTTGCTTAGTGCACGATGATGATGGTGATGATGATTGTAGTGATGACGATGTTGATAATGAAGATGATTATGCCGACAATGATGATGATGATGATGATGATAATAATTATGATGATGTTTATTCAGAACAGCAAGTCCGAACTGGTGATCAGAAAGTTAAAATTTACTACTTAAAATTGAATTTCAAAAAGGTATAAAAATATGAATAATATTAAAAAATGAAAACATAAACATAAACATAAGCATATTCTCACAGTTGGGGTAAAATGTGCACTCGTTGAAAAACTGCTGAAGCTCTTTTCTTTGGAGTCTTTTTTCAGAGACGGACCCAGGATTTTTTTATAGAAGGGATCCGAACTTAAGCAGCAAACTAAACCCTCGTTTTGCCACTCTCGTGTTTCTAGTAAACTTTAACACAAGTAAAATTGAAATATTCATATGAACACACACACACACTTAGTGGTTAAGAAGCCGTGTTTTTCAAGTTTAGGCCCTCTTAACCTGCGAGAAAGCTATCCTATTTGGGCAAGCGAAGTGAGCCTTGTCGCTCACTCGCGCGTTCTCGAGAGACTCGCTTCACTCTCCCAAATATGAGAACTTGCTGGCAGGCTAAGGCCCTCTGGACCCCTTCCATATTGATCGGCCACTTTTTTTTTTGTTTTTGAAAACTGCAGCAACCTTCTTTTACGTCGATAGAATTTAAGGGTATTTGAAGTTAGTTAAAGCTACACAGAAAGGAGAGAATTTGAAACAAGGATGTGGTGTCAGCGGGCATAAATCTCTTTCACAATGGTGGCCTATTAATCTATTATTTTATATGTATGATAATTAGCCTTTCTGACCTGGTTAGCATGTGCAAAATACAAAAGGATTTCTTACTTTCAAACGAAGTCAGAAAGACTAATTGTCATATTTATATATGATATATGAAAGTGGTCTATAGGACACGGGACCTCGCGCACCAAAGGCCGCACTAGCCAACTGTGCCATCCTTGCTGCTCCCTTAAGCTTTTTATTCCTTATTAATCACCTTTGAGCCATCTTGACCTGTCCTTAATCATGACTTCCTGAAAAGAACCCTGTATTCTTTCCTGGAGATTATCGATGGCGCTGGTAATTTGTCCAGACTGAATTCCCAGAACTATCGATACAAAGCATCGCACCAAGTGAACGCTATCTAGACGGTAGCTTGTCTGACTCTCCAGTGCTTGGCCAAGAAGCGTTGGTGAACGATCCGCCATCGGACGTAACGGGATCTGAGTCTCTGGTACAGCGACTCCCGGAGTGTCTAATGCTACATAGATGCGCTCCCCATTCTGGACTGTGCCAAGAACCTTCACTTTAACGATTCCAATGACACAAACTGTTTCCGTTCTTCCTGAAATGGTTAAGCCATCGGAAGTAAACTTCTTTTTATGAACGTTCAGAAAAACGAGTGCGGGAAGAAGTGAGTCTGGATGGACAGGGGGCTACAAATTTCAGTTGTCATTCAGGATTGGCTCATAATAAGTGACTTGGTAACTTACTTAATTATTTATTCTTGAGACCCAAATTTAGGGCCTGTTTACATGCAGGTGGGGGACCCCAAGTAGGTGAGGTAACGTGTGGCGGGTCACCCCACCTACTCATGTAAACGTGATTAAATAAAAATGAAAGATTATATGGCCAGGCGGGTTAACCCACCTAAGCGGGTTACTTCACCTACCTGGGGTCCCCCATCTCCATGTAAACAGGCCCTTAGAAAAGCTCAATTCAAAACAATGATTTATTAATATTAATAAATTGTGCCCCAAGGGGGTTTAAAAAGGCGCGATACCATGTCAACCGAAGAAGGTTGAAAAAAAATTTAAAAGTAATACTTTTCACCGGCAACAAAGAATGATCTCTCTTGGCATCAGTTTGTTGACGATGTTAAGTTCAAACAAGTCAATTACCAATCAGACATTATATTTCAACCGATTTCAAATTTCAAATCCACACAGTTTTAAGGACTTCTTCTATTTGACTCCTCACTGCAGGAATTTACTATATCTTTGGTGTTTTAGAGTGTTTTACCACTGGTGCGCAATTTTTACGTGTGTACGAGCGTAAAATTTACGGCGTGCTGTAAATAAAATATAAAACACTAAAGAGGGAATTTATGAAAGGTCGCGCGTAAACGTAAAAGGACGTTGAATCACGCTCAAATTTTACGTTTACGCGCGGCTTTCCGTAAAGTATCCACTGGCGGATCTACGGGCGGGGCCCGAGGGGGCCCGGCCCGCCCTTATTTTTAGACCAAACTGAGGCCCGTAGGGCCGAAAAAATGTTTTGAAGACTGTGCCCCCCTTATCTCAGGGTCTAGATGACCGGCCCCCCCTTATATCAAGGTCTGGATCCGGCACTGGTATCACCACTTTTATTTTATTTACGCTCGAAAAATTATGCGACAGTGGAAATCCACTTTTACTGTTTATTTTATCATTCTATGTACCGCTGTAAGTTACATGAAAACGAAGGCTTCTACGTTTTACCTTTTTCAACGTCATGGCTTGGCGCATGCGCATACAAGTAAGCAGACCGGCTGATGACTCCCGCCATCAAAGCGCGTTGAGTGTTTTCCTGTGTAAGCTTCTCAATCTCCGTTTGACCAGTCTTAGCATTGGCCACAAAGGCAATCACATCGCCCTCCTCTAAATCAGGCCTTCTTTGAGCAGATTCTATAAGGTTCAGATGATAAGCAATGTCCGCATTACCAGTTGTCACCATCTTAACCACCCTTAGATCTTCGATGCGAGCTCGTTGTGCCTCCAGGTGGGGTTAAAACTGAGGCGCCCCGGACGCACTGTAAATTTCGAGAACCCTATTGTTTTATGGGCGCGTCCCAATCGTTTCCAATCCTTCCTCGTGATCAACAACAACAAATTATATAACTGGCACTGCAAATTTTAATAGTAATAAAGATAACAACACTTTCTTCTCGAGGACTTTTTGCAACCTGGGAACATCTTCGAGTAAAAAGCCCCCGAAAGCCGTAATCGGCGCGAAAAAAGGCGCGAACAGGAGACGCGGCTGTTCGCTCCACGATTAATGCGAAGAGTACTATGTTGTTTTGTTTAAGTACTAAAATTTAAAGCATTAAAGCATTTTTACGCCCGAAAGTATTCACTCCTATCCAGTTGTCGAGGGGAAAAGTCAAGTAAAAGGTGAGAGGCAAATATTTTCTTGCAATGAGAGCCGGTATGCCGAAGTCCAGTGAGTAAGCTAAGACAGACAGTCCAACATTGAAGGAGATCATTTATTCGGCAGCCTTGCAGTTATATAGCTTCGGTGTGTTTTTTGAATACTTTTTTATTTTTAGCGAGTTTTTCCAGTCTTTCTAAACGCTTAGATGATAGACAAAAAGCATAATGGGGCTTACAACCAGCGTCGAGATTCAAACGAATATTCATTTTAGTCATTTGTTGTGACTATTACTAGGTTGAAGTCCCAACGTCCCCAACTGAAATTCCTGCTGTTCTTTAACATTCAACGAGGGTCAAGACTTGTTTTTCAAACCTCTTGTTAAGGTCCCATTTGAGCAAAAAAGTACTCGGGCAATATTAATTTAACCGACGTAACTTAGAGTTTTCACTGTGGGATATTTACACACTCATTATGGAGCTTTTCACAAAATTTAATATAAGCTTATAAATGATTGCTTTTGATCTTCAACCTTTTTTCATTAGAAAACTGTGCATGAAAATAGAATAAATTTTGCTGAGATACATCCTCTGTTGCTATAACTCTATGTCTCTGTAGTAGTCTGGAAGCACACAGTACCAATCTGCAGGTTATCTGATGGCCAGTTTCTTATGTTATCACAATTTTTTACAGTAGTAAGCAGAGTAAAAACCAGAGTAACACGTGGCAAAGACCTACATTTGTAAGGTTTTTATTTTTAATATTAATACATGTACGACTAAACCTAAGTGTTGCATGTGCACAGCTTAATTGCCATTCATACACTACTGTATTGGTCATAACTGTGGAATGTGGTAGGGTGTGTTTCCTTGCTGAATTTTGGTCTTCTTGACCATTGGGGAAGTGGCTGAATAAATATTAAAATGTAACTACATTATTTTCAGTGAAGGGTACATTGATATGATAATACAGTGTATAATCAAAAGAGTCAACTTACTCTTTTCAGCATAAAAGGTTTGTACCCCAGGAGGGCTGTCACCAACAGTTGTACATGTACCCACTGAAAAGCACAAAAGAAAACTGATCAGATCACCAAGCGACAAACTGTTGGATATTGAGACAACCTTTTGGATCAAATTTAAAATGTACCTGAATGCGGCGAGCCCCCAGGATTATTTTGAGGACTTGAATTTACACCTGAAGAATAGTCAGAATGACAAGAACCTACAGAGATCAATCATCTGTCAATCAATCCAAGGAAATGGTAAGTGTAGATATGAATAAATGTCAATACACTTAGATTACATGCAGCTGTAAGAATACTATGTATATAGTGTACTATTAACATGCCATAACTTTACATGCCTTCCCTAAAAGTATTTGTGTACTGTAAACTCATGACCCATCACTGCAGAGCACTAACCATTCCAGAACTGCTATACCAAAGTCCTTTTATGGGCACGTTATTTTCTAATAGTAGCAGTTCACTTTGTCCACAATCTACTGCATAGCCAGAATTATAGCTGTACCTGTTAAGCTTACCTTTTAAAAATGGAATCTGATGGTGAGAAATAAAACTCAGATAGTGTGAACACAGCATCATTTTGTGCTGTTTCATAGGCACTTTCCTGGTGCCCATTCACCAACTGAGCACAATACACTTTAGCCTTATCCAAACCGGAATGCTTCCTTAACCTAATGTTTTGTTGTACATCTCCAATTGTTTCCTTTTCTACTTTAAATGCACACCTACCTTTGCAGAAAATCCCTTTTGTACAATAAAGGAGCCCTCCCCTTGCCTTAAAGGTTATATTGATAATATTATCCTGCTGGTATGTGGGGATAACAATTTACATTTCCTTGATCTTTACATTAGAGGTAAGATTTACAACATAAATTTATCGGTTTACAGTACACTATTTGATTCATCCCAACATAACTAGTAATCATTTACAGTTGTACTTGCAGATGTAACCAAAAATAACTAAGCCGGCATGTAAGTTGAATAACAATAATAAATAAAGCAATAATAACTTTATCAAAATCTTATAAAAACCTATACACACAAAAAAACTGCCATTAAGTAATAAATTATTATAGTTCCTCCCCATACACATCATGAAAATCTCAAACTAAAAGCATAGGAGTTAATTGAAAATACAAATTTCATATAATATATATAAATTCATTGTAAAACATGTGCATGACAGAACCATCCATTATGCCTAACAGCCTCTATCTGCTATCTATAAAACATTAACTACAACATATACATTCTAATACAAGCCATTTCTAAAAAAGTTACCTGATTCATTTCTTTTCCTCTTATTTGAATTTGTTGGAACTTCGTCTGGTGCTAACAAAAAATTGTAGTTATTTTAGTATAATGTTAAAAATAATATGATCTTGAATCTTAAATGCTCTTCTAAAATTTATCAGAGCATTAAATGCTAATACATGTGTAATAAATTGATTATCAAGTTTAACTACTGATAATACATTATAAAAACAAAACATTTTCATTGATCAGTTCATTGTGAATAACAAAGTGCTGTTTAACTTTAAGTTGTTATTCTTGCTCCAATACAATGGACTGCAAAATGAAACCATGTTATTTTTATGTTAATTCATTGTTCATGTACTACACAACCTGAACAATGAGCTTATCATGACTTGTATTATCAATAGAATTAGGAAACAATCAATTGTACAGCTCTGCAGCAAAGGTAGACATAGTTCATGGTTCTTCACTGGAAAACACTTAACCTGTACCAGGGGCATCTGGTTTGGGTGCCTTTGGTCTTGTTCTAATGCGAAATCCCTTTGAAGTGAATCTTCCCACAAAACCATCAATAAGTTCCACAATGATAGCAATCTGCCATCTGTTCCTTTCTTCCACCTCAACTTTGTCCAGTGAGTAAACCAGTTCGTCTGTGGGTTTTTTATATACAGAGTCCAGATCAACTGAGAAATGAACTGCATTAGCTTCATATTTCTCATAGCTGACTTGAAGCTCTGTAGGACCTGTTGGAATAAAATTTTCAAATGCCGACTGAATTTTTTAGGGCTACAGAAACAGGCCCGGGGAAGGAGGGGGTGAGGGTGGTGGGTCATGTGCCCTTTTCAGACTTGAAGTTAGGGATTTCTGTAGTTGAGGTGTGAAATGGGAGGGCAATGTGACCTTTAGGCATTTAAAAGGGCCTTTAATTAAAATATTTAGAACACCAACAAACTATGGTTTCGTTATGTTGTCTTGTAAAATCATTTATAAACTTCAATCCAAGTAAGGGTTCAGAAAAGGTATGCAGTGTTCTTAAATATGTGTACATGTTCAGTAAAGCTGTACCATCTTTGGAAAATGGAACTTTTATGAGAGGGAACAGTTGGAGCCTACCTTTATGTAAGTACCTCCCTTGTGATCACAGGGCTTGTACTGTATTGTTTTGAATAAATTTCCTTCATTTTTTTTTATATACAGCTGTATATGCAGGGGTTTCAATAAAAATTGAAGTAGCCAGCAGCTTTGAATAGAGTAACCAACTGTTTCAACAGTCCACATTTTCAAGGGGTGTCTGGGGGCATTCTCCCTCAGAATATGTTAAAATTGCAAAGCCCTAATAAGAGATTTTCAGCGTTCAGGGGACTAAAATGAGTATAAAAGAGTGAGTTTTCCATTCAGGAAGATTTGGGTTGTACATGTAGTCAAATTTTGATTTATTGGCCACACAATTAACTCCTGCAAGCAATGAACAAATGATAATTATACTAAGTTACATACATTTCCACGTGAACAGATTCTGTTTTTATCCATGACATTATTCAAACTACTTGCTTCTTCTTTGAGAGAAAAAGTAGCCGACTTCTCTGAGCAATGTAGCCGACGCGTTTCGTCGGTCATCGGTGCTTATTGAAACTCCTGATATGTATATGTATACAGAGGGCACTAGTTACATTTTCGGCTTTGCTTTCCCATAGCACTTAAAAGTTTATGTATTATCAATTTTAGACTCCTGCACCACCCTTGCGCTTATTTGTTAAATGTAGGATTAAAATGGTTGAATTCAATTGATGTGTCAGCTTATAGCTGCCTCTGTAAACTGCATGGATTGTAAAATACTGCAGTGGTAATAAATAATGGTGGTCACTCCTGTTATTTGTAAAGCTTTTAGCTAGTTACTGTGGTGTATGGTCACTTGCCATAAAAAATATTGTCTTCATTAATAATGAGGCAACTCTCTGTTTTAAAATATCAAACTGATTAAAAAAGGTGGCAATGTTATGATTTTGGAGAGCCACCTTAACATTTTCAAAACTGTGTATTCTGTAGTGCAGTCTGCTCCATGTGTCTGGTGAATCACTTTCTGAAATCTACTTACCAACATGAATTCTGTCACTAACTTTTCCTGCTGCCTCAGGAGTACGCTCAACAAATGCCCTAATACTTTTTATTTGGCCCTCTGTCCATGCAACTCCATTAACTTTTCCTTTGGCAATACGCTGTTCAGAACATGGTAATTTCTTAATTTGGACTTTGTCGTAGACATCTTTCAGGTCATCTAACTGAATGTGAATTTGTGGTGGCCCTGGATAATGGAAATGACTATTAGGTCCCTGATTAATTAGCATGTTAAAAAGCACTATCATTGCAGTTATTGACAAATATCATGCAGTTATGACCATTTCAAACTCTCAGTTTAATTCTGCGGTGAATATTTCACTCAATAAAACTCCCTTTGACTAAAGAAAGGTAACCTACAAAATGTATTAAATTAACTGTTACAAAAACATTATATTGTTTCTCTGTTGTCTCAAGGTAAAGTGAATTAATGTATGAGTACATGTATCAATAATCAGCTGTAAACATATTCTACAAAATGTAAATGCTCCTCCACAAATAGAAACAGCCCTCATAAAGTACAGTGTGTGATATGTGAACGCAGTGTTTGAACAATTAATTGATGTTTTTCGGGAAAATACCTAAAATCACCAACCCGGAACAGGTAGTATTACTTTCGTTTTGACGACTGTTTATTTTTGATGTGATTGTAAGCAGCTAGAATTCGGTTAATTAAAAACTACGTGCGAGTGTATTTAAAAATTGGCAAAAGGCTGACGCATTTAAAAAGCTAAATTAAGCCTGTTGTGTTGGAAAGAAAAAGAGCAAAGATTGAAAGAAAAAAGAAAAGAAAAAAAAAACTATATAAAAAGTTAAAGAAACTGAAAACAACGCTCTTCATGATAAAAGAAACAGTCATCAAATACAGTATTATTACATGTTCAATTATACGTATAACAAGAAGTGTATGACCATACAACTGTACCAAGTTCCTCGCTAAGAACATCCTCAAGTTCTTCAAATTGCTGCTCTAGATTAGTGTATCCAAACCCAGCCATCGATCACCACTAGTGTTCAACAAAAGCAACGTGCTGACACGATTTTCTTAGTCCTGTTATGGTGCATGGGAGCATACGTGCTTGACAAAAATTAATGAAACTGTTCACCTCCACTTTCGAGACTGTCTATCTTTAGCCCCTAAGTTTCAAGCCTTGGTGGCATTGCTGAACGTATAGCACGGTGCGCTCAAAAGGAAATTTTAAAAACTGTCAAATAATATGCGTCCTTAATGAAGGCGCAGAAATTGAAAGGAAAAGTACATGTATCCTTTGTCGTGTGACGTATTATTTAGGGAAAGTCCCTTACAGTACCACCTCTTTATTGAATTATCAACAATAATCATTTCAGGGGTATTTCTTAGAACTATCCATGTCTTCCGGTGTAGGGGCCATAGGTTAGCTGGGTAAATTTGTCACGCAAACTGGCCCTTTTAAGCTTGTCTGCATTCATTGCACTGACCACCGAAAAAATCCCAACAAGAAATACAGTAAACCAAGTGCAATGTAACTGAAACGTTCTTCTAGAACTAACATTGTCTCTTTGTGACGTTTAACTCTGTAGCAAATAGTTTTCTAATAAGGGCTAATAATAGTGTGTGCAAGAGGAGTGGTGTTCGGTTGGTTCCAATCTGTTCCATTACGTCCCGTGGCTATACATTCCCCGCTTTAAAACTGGGTCGACTTTCTTACGTTTCCCTTCGTCTTGTTCTCTATATTTGGTTGAAGGTCGGAGTGTTTGCTCCGGCAGAAGGCGCGATCTGTGTGATGATTTTACCTCAGAAAGTAGGACATGCGCCGTGCTTCGTGTATGTGTTCTCTCGTGTTGCCTTGCTAGAGCCTTTGTGAAGAGCGTGCAGCCCTGTCTCGCTCTTAGGTGAGGTGATTTCACTGTACAAATAGCTGTCGCAGATCACCCAACATTGGAGCCGTCATTTAAGCACTTACTTTAGTTAATCTAGTAAGAATTAAGATCCCAGATAGTTCCTCCTTCCCTACTGTGCAGCCTATCAGTAAAAGCTTCGGTCAACTATAAAAACAAACAAACAAAAAAAACACGATGTGGAGTGTTCTAGGCCTCTGTTACATTTCCTGGCCTTCTCTGTCTAAATCTTTCAATTGCCTAATGTCAATGCACACTGTATGACCCAAAAAACCTGGATTGCGGTAATCCTTTCTGTTTCTTCTCTGAGAGGGACTTTATTAACGTGTCGTCTTCCTAAAGATTTACAATGAAGCAAAGTTGTCTTAAACAAAAGACAGTGCTCCCATGTAGCTATTTGTTTCGCCATCATGCAGTCGATGTAGAAAGTATTACGAAGGTTGACGTTGCTTTCCGAACGAGACAGCGAAGTGCCAAGGAGTTTAGATTATTTTGCTACACAACAATGTACTTGCTTTTGATGAGCGTCACTACTTTTTAGCTACGTGAAACAAAACGCTGGATCACGCGATCTTTAGAATGAATTCACTTGGAGAAGAAGGAAACTTTCCTGGTGAACTAATCACCAGCTAGGTGCCATCATGACACTACGATCAGCACGTTTATTTGTACAGCCACAAGGAGAATTTTAATTTGAAATCAACCTCAAACATTACTCCACGGCTCCTTGGGACTTTTAACGACAAAATATCGAGACTTTTGATAGGATTATTTTTACATTATGATCAGGGACCGCGGAGACCATTTTAAAGTGGTGGGGCTAAAAAATCTGGCCAGTACAAAGAAGCATTAAGTTCAGTGTTTCGCCATTTATCTTGCATTTGCGCGCCATCTTATTTACAACCTCAGCAAATATAACATAAACGTCGTCACTTGTTATAATGTTCAGTATAGCCAATATGTTAAATAAACCTTCCTAAGATTGCTACTTTTTGAAGTTGTCCGCAATGCTAAAGTTTCTCTTGAGGTTTTCATTGCGGGAAACAAACTCCTGTACGACTTCAGCTATAGAGACACTGTCTGTTCTCCGCTTGTGACCATTCCGGCAACACTGCTAAGTTGCTAAACCTTTCGTCACGCATCTTGGATCGAAGCGACGTCTTCAGACGCCGTGCAGATGAGAGTGAACGCTCGCCAGTAGCACTGGTAACAGGATTTACAGCAAGCAGCTTACAGATAGTTTGGACTTCCTGAATTAGCCTCTTTTCTGGTCCTGGAAACTATAACACCGCCAACAGGATTTCGTTAAACCATGATATCTTCTCCTCCTTTAACATAACTTCCAAAATACTTAGTTGCTCAGGTAGCGCCCCTGTATCAACATCTTCGCTGTATGACGCATCACGAAACTGAACTCTGCCTCGTCGTCACCAATATGAGCTTTAACCAAGAGGGTCTCCATCTGGGCGTAGGAGCTGAAGCTTTCCTGATTAACGCGGTGATATATAGCCCGACGATAAGATGAATACCCTCATAATAGACCCCTCTAAAGTGATCTTTGGCAGTTTGGGGATAGCTTGGTGCACCAGCACCAACCTCCAGTCTGACCAAAGTGCGTCGTTTTCTTGGAAGCGTTGGTTCGCTAAGCAGGCCTTCACTCTTGCAGGCAACATCAGCATAGAAATGGTCCAAGCTTTCATCAGTGCGAAATTTTGTCAGCGGCTTCTTTGTTAGTCTTGGCAGGCGTTGTCCAATGACAGCAGCCATCTTAGTACCCTGAAAATCCTTAGACAGATTATCGGTGTGGGAATAAAGGTGCTCTCCAAGATGAAAAGCAAAGAGAAAATTAAATCGCTCCTTCCATTTTGGGTCTTACATCTTACTATCCTTGCAAGCAAATCGGGTTGTAATCGTTCGGACATACAAACACCCAACTCTTCCATAGGGCAAAGTCCAATAATTCCACGGGAATTTTTTCCATGTCAACTGGAGCCCTAGAAAATAAATCCCAGCAATAAAAGTGGTAGGGCTATAGCCCTACCAGCCCCTCCCCCTCCGCGGTCCCTGATGATACAGGGTTTCCCTGTCAGGTGAATTCTTAGTTTTTCACATGAGTGTCAAAAATTTATCATCTTATACTACTACATGAAAAATTTCTGCAATTTGATTGGCTTAGAGTAGTGGTATTTCAGCTTAATTTGAAATACCTACATGTGAAAATCACAAACCTTTTGCGGGTAGCAGTATAAACAAATAATAGCATGATTTCGACGTGATATTTGGCATAAATGCCACTCGTGATATTTCAAAATTGTCTCAAATTTAGCTCGCCTAACGGCTCGTGAAATTATGTCTAGCAATTTCGAAATATCACTTGTGGTATTTATACCTAATATCCCTACAAATCGTGCTATTACCTATACTAATAACAAAATTAAGCTATAAGTATTTTTAATGTTTAAAACAATGATCGAGTTTTTTTCGCGCGAGACTTGATGACTAGAAGACTCTTCGTGAGTATTTTGAGCAGCTTTCAAATTTCCCTTCGTGCTGCATGTTTACTTTCAATGATCCATGTAGTGATCTTAAAAGCGTTTTCGATGAAACACACAGCGAAAATAAAACAATGAATTGAACAAAAATTAGAAAAGTTTGTGAATTGTGGTTGTGGAAGTCTGAGAATCCTTTGGAGCTGAAGTATTGAGGTATACAGCTTCAATAAATTGACTTGCTTTTAGGGTCGACTTTAGGATACCGCTATCCTACTATCCTAAAGGAACTCTGTAACCGTACAAGCAGCAGTAAATGTAGATTCATTTAGTAATAATTGCGTGGAAACACCGGTATGGATGACTCAGATAGATGGTTAACACAAATATGTTTCAGTTGTTTTTCTTAGAACCGCGAATTTGCTCGTCGTTGAAAATCCTTTACGTCCGAAGAAAATTATTTTGATAACTGGCGTTGTCAAATCCACAGTTGATTTTTTCAAATTCTATATAGTACTTATTTCAGTCAATTTTCCAAACAACGTATAATTACTGGTAAAATATTACACTTTACATTTAGTTTATATGGCAACTCTAAAAAGCATTGAAGTACTTTACCAAATGATAGTAAATTTCTCTCCTTTGACTGGTTCAAATATAAATTAAAACGTGTTACAATTATCTCCATACCGAGTTCCTCCCCAAGTACTTCCTCTATATCTTGTAAGGGTTGTTCCAGATTAGTATACCCAAACCTGCAGGCCATTGCTTGCAAAAACCTGATCCTCCGTAGGGATAAAGCGTTCTTCTGCTGTTTTGAAGACCTGTGGTCTGTCGGAAGCTTTGGCTTGTGAAACTGGCGAAACGTTTCAGTTTTGCTT